AAACTGTTTCAGAATTATCGTGCAGACGGACAGACGCACAAATAGACGCATTAACATATACGCAAAACCACGTACGCACAAAATGGTCCACATTACATCCAATCCACAAAACCATTTCCTTCCTTCTTCCCTTTTACTTTTACACCGTAAACTTCCCAAACCAAGCCAAGCCAAACCACAAATGCTAAAATCGGCAAAAAAGACGACAAAGTTTTAAATGTGCGTATGGAAAGTTACATATCATACATACAGATATCCAAAAGATTGTGACATTTATATAAATCCTGTCTCTTTCTAAATAAGATACAGGATACATATTAAACATTTTACATGATAAATTACCATGCTCTACAGCCACAATCATACCGCAATAAGGGTGTAATAACGACATTGTGGTTGACGTCGGAGCAGCTCGAGGCATTTTCTTTAGTTTTGAATGATTGTCGCACTTTTACTTTGTTGTGTATATATGCAGTGGCCGCGGAAGTGTGGGGACAGAGGGACAATGTCCTCACGATTATTCGATTTCCCTATCATCTACCCATGTTATATAAACCCCTGCCTCCCCCCATCCTACAATTTTAATGTCCCCTGATGTCCCCACAGCTTCCGCGGCCACTGGGAGAATTCAGGCTACTCAAATGTATGTATATGATGCAGTAGCCGCGGAAGGGTGTGGACAGAGGGACAATGTCCCCACGGTTGTTCGATGTCCGCATCATCTCCCCATCGTATATAAACCCCGTCCTCCCCTATTCTACAATGGAAATGTCCCCAGATGTCCCCACGGCTTCCGCGGCCTCTGTATATATGTCGGTAATTCAGGATTAGTAAAACGTCGACGAGACCAACCATTTATGAAGGCATATTCATGCTAAAAGACAAAAGATTCAATGAGAGTGGTTCAATTGTCAGATGCGAGTATGAACTTGGGATTAGGATAAGAATGGGATTATTTTTTAGTTTTGGTTTCATTAACCGCAATCCACAGCAATAATGTAATGTGCGTTAAACATTAATAATTAAGAGAACTTCTTATCCCTCCATTTGACAAGATGTTGAATTATGCATATTTATCGAGTAGTTAAACATAAAGAGTATCTGCACAGACAGAATTCTGCATATTTCTGCAGATTTCAACAAAAAAAATATTTGCATAAGCAAACAATTCTGAATATTTTAGTCTGCTTAAAGTTCCATAAAAATTGTGCAAAATTCTTTATACATATTGTGGATTTCGGTAGATTTCGGCAAAAAAAATTTGCACATTTTGTGTATAAACTTCCATGAAAATTAGCAAAATTCTCCACATTTAAGCAGATTTTAGCTAAAATAATTCTGCACATTTTTCCCTGCATAAAATTCCATGAAAATTATGCAAAATTCTAAACACATTCTCTTCTGTACAAAAATGCGCCAATTTTCGGCACCACGTTGATTTTCATAAGGAAACTAAAACAATGCGACTTACTTTAACTTATCAGAACGGATGCGGCCAAAGTCAAACATTATGAAACATGCCAAACGACCTGTTCTCTTAAAGATTGACATGAACGGAAACAATTTTTACATCATTATCTGTCATATTTACAATGCTTATTATTTATTTTATATACGTACGTACGTAATGCATGCCCAGCCCAGCCCAAACAACCTCCAGGTTCAGGACGATGATAAGAGTAGGAGATATGTGCTTGTGCAAGAATAAATTGCCTAATTAAAGTTTGTACGACTATGATTCGATAATTATGACCGTGATGAGATTTAATGTTAATCCATTGTGCTGTGCAGTTAAAAAATATTATATTTAAATCATGGGTTAACCATTTAAATCAAGTTGGTCTTAATTGTGCCAACAATGAGAGAAAGAAAGAAATGTGGATGGATGTATGTAATATAATGTAATGTTGACCTTATACATGCAAGTGTGTGTGTGTGTGTATGTGTATTACGTTAAGATATCTAGGCAGATAAGATCTTGTCGTCCCTGAAGTAAGTAGCAATCTGATACTTTAGTTTTGATGTAACAATAATAATAATACAGTTAGTTAGTTAGTTGCTACTGATATACGAGAACATGCTTATGAAAAAAATTAAAAATATCGTATGTATATATGAAAAATATTAAGCTAAACAGACATCAAATGCAACAAGTATGATTTAAAGTCAGGTATGAATTTTTTTCATGAACAAAATTACGAATAATATTTAATTTAGTACAAAAGCTAAACGATACTGCAAAAAAACTGCAATCGAAATAAATAGCGAATTAAGTAGACTATTCATTGATAAAATTCGTAAATATTTTCTACCGCATGAGTTTTATATCTTATGTGACTGGTGTGTCTGTCCGGCTGTCGATATTTGGGATTCGCTTATGAATAGTGAAAAGCTTAATAATCCGCCAAAAAACTGCACTCGAAATAAATGGCGAATTAAGTAGACTATTGAATTCATTGATAATATTCGTAATTTATTTTCTATAGCCTGACTTACACCTTATGGGATCGTAGTATGTCTGTCCGTCCGTCGATTTGTGGAATTCAATACAAACAAATCTGCTAACTCGGACGAAACGAAGTAGTAGGTTTTTTCTATCCTTGTTCTCTTCTTATAAAGAGGGAGACTCGTTAATGAAATTAGATCGCACGCTTTTAATGTTGTAATAATTTTGCTTAGTGTTAAAACGTGAAGTGCAGCGGAACGAATGGGTGAAATGCATTATACATAAAGGTTTTCATTTAATGACTTCTCGTATTTTTTTCTAGGTGAGAATAATGCAACGAAAACATAACAATAAGCTTCAAATTTTATTTTCGCCTTTTTAGAAGCAAAGAATTTTAGCAGGTGATTATCAAGAATTGGTGGAAATTAGACACGTCACGTTCTTAAATTATTTTCATACGAGGATATAAAAAACGGATGAAAATATGTGTGTAAAAAATGCCAAAATATTTGGACCAAAATTGAAATTTTGAGGCATTTTGAAGTCAAATTATGATTTTGTAAATATTTGGACCAAAATTGAAATTTTGAGTCATTTTGAAGTCAAATTATGATTTTGAAATTTAATGAAAAATATTTTTTTGTATTAAAGGGCATCCCATATGTAAAGTGCAGATGGAAAAACCGCCCTCATTTTGTTGTAATTCAATTTTGTTCGAAGAAACTAAATTTACACAAAAGCTTAGGATCTGTATGTGTTAGTTTTATCGTTAAACCAATTTCCTATCCCATTGTAACTTAGAGATATTAGGTTCTTCCGAGCTCCGCCGAAGGGTCGTTTTCACGGTTTTTCCTAAATGTCCTTTGCGATTCTGCTCCAACCTTTCGAAATCTACGAACGATTGCAAACTTTTTCTCTCGTTTAGAACATTGTCTTCGACAATTGGCCCAGAAGTTCTCCATACCACGTGTTTGAGGTACATTATTAACGTTGTTTGGTTTTTGTGTATCTCATCCAATGTTTTCGGGGGAATGAATAACCAAGGTTTTCTTTTGAAACATTGTCTTTGGCTTTAGTCTATCTTCGCATTTTGCATCTACTGGAGTAGTTGCTTGAAAATATGTACGATCGGGAACATTATCAGGGTCAGTGGTCACTTAGATTTCATCATAAATAACCACGAGTTTGCTCAACCCTTTTTTGGAAATTTTTCTGCATGCTGCTTTAGCTTGATGGTGCTGGGTCCATACATTTTTCTTTGCCGATTGCTTTACACACTCTTTCATGCCTAAGACGTGAAGTTTAATTCGACGTATCGTTGAGTTCGATATGTTTTGTGTTGTGGATACGGCAATCATGGAATTGCGGGACGCTTCTTTAAGAACATCCTAATTTTCTCGACATTTCTTTTCGTTGACTGGATAACCGCCTGACCTGATATTTTTTTGCAATTCATGTCACCGGCAAGCTCACATCTTGTAATTATTAGGTCGACAACGAATCTAAGTTTTTCTTGCCTGGCGAAGTAATCAATCGTCTTTTTCTAATCACACCGATATGAATTTTCGTGCGAGTGAAAATCGACACTTCCGAATTTTTGGATTCCGGCTCGTGTAATGCATTGACAAGATTTTTTGATGAAATCTGAAATCAGTTGTCTTAATCTGCATGACATTACCTAAAATATGACTTATCTCTGATCAATTTTTTCCAGCCCGTACCCTTAAAATCAATGGTTGACCGAGCTGCACCTTACTTTTGGGATGCCCTTTAGGTAGGTTGATTATATGATTAATACGTGTAAAATTGTCTGACAAAATTCAAGTATGTCAAAAAATTGAAATTATTTAGGGAAGAAATGTATAAATATTTAGACAAAAACGAAAAAAATAAGAATTTTGAGGCATTTTGAAGTCAAATTATGATTTTTAAATTTAATGTAAAATATTTTTTTAGTCTTAGGTAGGTTGTTTGATGATAAATTTCTTACGTGTAAAATTATCTGACAAAATTTAAGTATTTCAAAAAATTGAAATTATTTAAGGAAGAAATGTAAAAATGTTTAGACTAAAACACGAAAAAAATATGAATTTTGAGGGAATCGTCAATTTATGATTATAAAACTTAAAATACAGAACATTTTCCTTGTTGTAATTTTTTCACAAAAATTTGCCTTCTAAAAAGATATTCTAACACAATTTATATATTTAAGAAAAATGGGAAATATTTACGGAAAAATGTATAAGAAAACATAAAAAACACAAAAACGAAAAAAAATCTAAAGTTTGAAGGATTTCGACGTCAAATTATGATTCTAAAATGAATACGATAATTCATATTGTCGTATAGGTAATCTAGCCTGTGGCAAAAAACTTACCAGTCTAAAATTTTCGTTAACAAACTTTATATATTTTTGAAAATAGAGAAGTACCACTTAAATATTTGCACATTTTTTAAGTACGAAAATTAGCAAAATATTATACATTTATAAATTTTTAAAAAATACATAAAAATTTAATTATTTGCAAACATTTTCCCTTATTAATCGTCTCACCTGGATAAAATCTTGTTTACTCGAATCCTCATAAATTCCGGAACCACGTGCCTCATCCCCCACAACGATGGAAGGCACAAATATCACAACCAAACAAATTATTGTGGTGGCGAGGGTAATAAATTTTCGAAATCCACCAGTACCACCAGAACCCCCTAAACTTAGACAGCTCCCAGTTCCAGCAGTCTCACAATTTGCACTACTTTTACATAAAAACTTGTCAATTGAATCGGTCGACTTTTTCAGACAACTTTTCAACACGAGGGGACAACTTTGTTCTTCCTGTTCTTCACATAGGGTTCCCCGCGACGCGAAAATATTGGGGTAACGAAGTCTCGAACTTGCTCGAGAGGATGAGCGTCGTTGTTGTTGAGGGGGCAGATTGAGATTATTATTTACGTCGTCACTGAAGGTGAGATGAGACGGAATCCCAACCTTGTTCTTATTGCGGAATCGTTTACTCATGTTGGTCAGACTGGTGCGGGCAACGGTCCAGTTATTGGGGTTAATTTGTGGGGGTGGGGGTGGTGGTGGTGGTGGTGGGGATGATGTCGAGACACCCCCATTTTCCGGAAGTGGAGTAGGTGCAGGATTTACGACACTTTTACACTGGGGATGCACCCGGAAATTGCGGGCAGGTTTGGTCAAACATGACGATGACGACGACGTCGCAGGTGACGAAGACGCGTTTCTACTCGGACTCATCTTGCTGACGAAAGATTTCTAGTCGACGAGTCATATTAGGTCCATTTTTTTGAAATTTTGAAACCACAATTTTGGAGAGTAAATTTTACATGAAATTTTGTATCACACACTGAAGTTATTTATTTATTATTTGCAAAATTTCAACAATCCAACCACCACCACGACATGGGTCAATTTTGGTGGATTATTGGCACACACAATCAGCGTAGCGTACCGTACGGCGTGTTGCGTGGTGTTGTTGTTTGCGATGCAAATGCGCCCAAAATACTGACAGACTTTTGAAATTCAACGTATAGTTAGTTAGTTAGTTTTGAGGTTGGATTTAACAACCAAGTGAGTTAAGTTAAGTTAAGTTAGCGAGATGAGATGCGGACTGATTCAACAATAACAAATGTATGTATGTACACGCAACAATGCTGAATTTTTGCATGGTTGTGCACACCGTAAGGGGTACGTAGGTAGGAATGATATGATATAGTTAAGCTCAGGTTTATGTAGTAAATACTTTTGCATGCATGCACGTAAGTAATTCAAGTAAACGATGCATTGCATTATTTGCAGCACGTGAATTTGGTATGGGTTTTTGGAAAATAAATATTATTCGGGAGGCATTTTATTATGTATGTGGTAGACATAAATTATGAATTCTTTAGAATGGAGGTCTCCCAGCGTATGCGATCCAATTTTGAGCAAATTAGCGTGAATCGATAACAAATTTAATTAGGATGAAAATTTGCGAAAGACACGATCTCCCAATGGGCACGTTTGACGCAGATATTTGCATCCGAAGAGGAGAAAACGTGCAGTAAATTTGGAAAGTGTAAAATTTGTTGACTTTAGGGCGCGTTTTCTCCTCTTCGGATGCAAATATCTCTGCCAAACGTGCCCATTGGGAGATCGTGCCTTTCGCAAATTTCATACTAATTATATTTGTGATCGATTTCCCACTAATTTGCTCAAAATCGGAGAGAATTCGCTGGGAGACCTCCATTGTCCGTGCGGAGAGGACAGATTTAGCTTAAACTTTTGTGAATGCAACCTTATTAAACCGACGGAACCATAAAAAAAGAAGACCACCAAACATGTAATTATGTCCGTGTGGGTCATGGAACTCCGTTAGAAATAAATGGATAAAACCTACTGGCTCTAGCTCTTTGTTTGGATTTTTGTCGCATGCAAACATCCAAAATTATGGGACGGCACGAGATTCATGTTCTGAAAAAGAGAGGTGTATGTACATATGTGCTCCTTTTCGTTTTAAAATGATTAATATAAGATGAAATTTTTTCAAACAAAAAATCAAAAAAGTTTCGACTTTTTTGATGTTTTGGATGTGTGATGTAGATGCCAAAAATGTAATTTGCAAGCTTTAAAATATTTAAGGGAAGGTATAGATAATCAACGCAACCATCCGTTATACACCTTGTGTTATACATATTTCTCGGCAACTATGTGGAATACATCAGATTTTTTTATAATTTTTCCGAAAAAGATAATATATTATATTATCTTATTCCATGGTTGATATCCTATAAACTCAACTAAAATATACTTCAAAAACTATTTTAATTTCAACCAGAACAATATTCATCCTAATTTAATTTATGTAATAATAATCTAGCCATTATTTTAGAAAGAAAGTTTTTATGACAAAGTATAAAATTTTTGTACTTTCTGACATAACAAGTTAATCAACAGGCTTAAAACCCTTACTTGTTTATCTTGCTGTGCAGTGGACGCGGAAACGTGTGGACAGAAGAGGGACAATGTCCCCAGGGTTATTCGATGTCCGCATGTTGTATAAACCCGTCCCTCCCCCCATCCGACAATGGTAATGTCCCCACGGCTTCCGCGGCCACTGTTGAAAATAGCAAGTTTTTAAAAAACGGTATGGGTCAACCTTTAAGGTTACAGTTTGGTCGTTTTTAAATTCATATCCGTTCATGAGAAGCTATCGCTGTGTCGAAATTTCAAGTAAAATTTCTGAAAATCGGTATTAAATGGGTCGCCACCACCATGAAGGGTCCTTCTGGTTGGAAAATTTTGGAAATTTCACCTCAGAAACTTTCATTACCGGCTTTTACTTAACAATCCTTGTGCCAATTTTCTAACACCTTGGAATTTTTGCAATGTTTGCAATTTTACTGGAAACGAAATGACCCTCAATTTGACCGATTTTGCTCATCTTAGAACTTATGTAACTCCTAGAAAACATATTTTTGAACCCAATTGGTTCAACCGTTTTGACTCTATCGTGCCTCGGACAGACAGACAGGCAGGGCGGTTACATAAGTTTTACTCGAGGTAAAAATAATGTGTAACACAGACGCCAAAAATGTGAGTTGCAAGTATTACAATATATAAGGGAAGGTACACAGATGCCTTTCTGTTCGTTAACATGTTACACATTTTCCGGAAAATACGTTGAAATTTTATCAAAATATTAATATACTTTGAAATATTTGAAATTCAGCCAAAACAATGTTTAATGTATCCCAATTTAATTTATGTAATAATAATCTCGTCATTATTTTTCAGAAAGAAAGTTTTTATGACAAAGTATAAAATTTTTTGGGGTTTGCTTGCTGACATAACAATTTAATCAAGAGGTTTAAACCTTACTTATTTATCTTCCTGTGAGACGATTAAGAAGGGAACAGTGGCCGCGGAAAAGTGGGGACAAAAGAGGGACCATGTCCTCACGGTTGTTCGATGTCGGCATCATCTCCCCATCTTATATAAACCCCTCCCTTCCCCCAGGGTACAATGTTACTGTCCCCCGATGTCCCCACGGCTTCCGCGGCCACTGATTGTGCACTATTCTTATTTTTTCATAAAAATGTCACTTACTTAATTATGTCCTCCTCCTGTCTGTCTGTCTGTCTCGTCTGGTCGTCGTCATTGTGAGCGTGTCGTGGTCATGGTCGGCACGGTGTGACAAAAATTATACGTATTTTTATGCAATGCAATGCTATTAATTATTTAAGACGAAAATAATAAAAATGCTTATGTAAAAGACGGATAAGAGTTTCAGTTTAGCGAGGCATGGAGGACAGCAGGCAGGCAGGAGACCACCTACATAAAAGTTAAAATTATCTAAGCATAAATTGTTGTATAATAAGGAAGATAAATGAGCATTAAGTATTATGGCATGACCAGAAATTATGTGTGGCAGGAGCAGAACGAAATATTTATGAAGGATTTCTTTATGAAGGAGAATAATATTTCCCTAAAATTTGCATGCATGATAATTATATAATTTTTTCTAAGGATTTCCGTTCACGAGAAAGCAGACCATTTTTTGATTTCAAGTTCTCCATCATTTTTTATGGTAAAGTGAGCTACCTAATTATATTTATAAGAGGAAAAAATTTGAAAAATATGTACTTTACGACATAATTCAGAGAAATTGTCACATACAATTCAAAACTTGACTCTGGAGACCTTTGTTTTGGATGGAACCGTGTAATTAATTTGCAACAATTAACTAATTTCTGTGTCATGTTTAAATGTCAAGAAAAATATGGAAATGATCAACATACTTTTTTGTTTGCAATAAATAATTTATCTTTAAGTTAGTTTCTTTCAATTTTATAATTTTACCTTAAAATTATAGTTTACATACGTTATGTTTAATAACTTAGATAATTTTATGTTTAAATTATAGTTTATATAAGACAGAATCTGGATAAGGCAGTAAACATTGAAGGATATCATAATATAAGTAATTGTTAGTCTGTACAGACTAATTTACATAAGACCAGCACCTTACATACATACGTAAGATGCGAGTAATTTTACCTGAAAAAGCGTATCAAAATATACTGTTCTACATACACAATCAAGTAATTTGCTACCTATGTACTACTACCGATATATAATACATAATTGGACTATGATGCGTTTCATATTTGTGAACAAAAAAAATTGGACACATCAACCGGAAAAGTATGGTTCAATATAAATCAATTTAACTTGTTTAAAGAAGAGCTTTCATCTCAGCCAAAAGTTGTTTTTTCCGAAGGAGAACTTCCTGTAAAGTGTAAAGTTTATGTTATCATCAAAGATAAGTTTGGAAATTAATTCATAATTATAATTAAACTTTTAATGCAGGACTTGATGAGCCATCACCAAAATAAATCAACATTTAACCATTTCTCGGTTGTGGGAATTTACTTTAAAATTCTGGACAATAAATTTGTAGATCAAGGAGTTGTAAATTTTCAAAAATACAGTCTAGATTTTGACACTTTTTGAAGGAGGAGATCTCAAGTTTAAGAAGCCTTCAGAAAAATTGGAACTCGCCGAAACTGGCGTAAAAACTCAACGCTATTCCATTAACCAACTTACTGACTACAAATTTGTTGTCCAGAATTTTAAAATAAATTCCCAGAGCCGAAAACTGATTAAAAATGTTTATTTTGACAATTTTTGTAATGAGTCATCGAGCCCTACGTTAACTTACCGCAACGGAAGATTTTTGTTCTTTCACAAGATTTTGCTTTTCTTCCACTTCAGCCTTTAGTTTTTCGACTTTCTGGCTCGGAATCGCTGCAATCTTCAATTTCTCAAATTTAAGCTTGAGGTCCTGACACTGTCTCGATACTTTCTTTAATTTTTCCTCCTCCTCGGTCTGTTCTCGGGCTGCGATTTCCAATTCATCCCGCTCAATTGTCTGGTAGATTTTTCTAATGGCGTTGAACCTTTTATTGGCTGAGTGGATGGTATCCTCTGGATAGCCGAGCTGTTGAAATATTTGGGACAGCACGTCTCCTTCCGGAGTTAATGGTTTTGGAGCAGTAGCCCCTCGACCGTCCTGCAAATGAGATAAATTTGATCATAATCATAAAAACATTTTGAAGGAATTATTAATGTAGGACTCAATGACTCTCGGCAAAATCATCAAAATAGACACATTTTTAATCACTTCTCGGGAATATATAATTCTGGACGACAAAATTTGTGAAACAGGTCGTAGCAATTTTTGTTAACTCCAGATTTTAACAGTATTTGAAGGATCTCAAGTGGAACTGATTGAAATTGGCTTAAAAAACTCGCCGTCATTCTGTTAGTCAACTTATTTTTCATTACAAACTCGTTGTCCAGAATTTTAAAATAAATTCCCAGGGCAGAGTAATGATTAAAAATGTTTCGAATTTGACGATATTTATGATGAGTCATCGAGTCGTAATAATTTAAGTTTAATTACCAAATCGATTGTTGCCAATTCCTGTTCGATATTCAAAATAGTGTCCTTAAGCTGATTAAGTGGTTGTGCATTTGTGGATATGAGTTTCCCCACGAGGTCAAGCCGTACTGTTTGTGCTTCTAGCATGTCATACAGTCCAGACATTCCTAGTTCTAGACGTTTCTGCAAATATTATAAAGATTAGTATGCAAATAAGTATGTCAAAATCATGGGGATGAAACAGCACGATTAATTAATTAGCCAACCTTCGCCAGATTCCTAGATTCAATTAATCCTTGAAACCGACTATCCACTTTTTCCAGTGTGTCGACTCGGACTTTCTGCAATACTTCGTTAAATTCATTCTTCTCCTGAACCTCCAGAATTTTTATGCTATCTTCAACCTCCTGCTCCGACCGGCTACTACACATTATCATTATCACGCAATTAATTTACAGTTTAATTATTAATAAGCATTCAAAGTAATGTCAGTAATGTTTATAACTTTTCGCGTATCGTACTTACACATCCATCCCATTTGCGCTAATGTCGTCCAATACTTGGACAGCGACTTGAGCTGCGGCAAGTTTACGTGCCAACTTTACTCGTCGAACTTCTTCGTACACGATGGAATGGCGAAGCCGTTCAAATTTGCTGAGTTGCTGGGTGATTGCCTCGCTAACGTGGGAATCATCTTCTGTCTGTGGTCTGACACGTTCTGATTCTCTGAGCAGAGTTGGGATGTACTTTTTACCAAACTCTCGTATCTCTTGGTTCAAACTATCTTCATTTTCTATGAAGGTGTCCCAGTCCCATTCTCCCATAAATTGATCGCCGAGGTTTGCCTGGAATTTTATGAACATAATTATATTGTAAACATTTATAGAAATTTTTAGAAAATGTTTGAAAATGATATCATGAATGCACACACATTATCATTCAGGTCCAGATGCTTGAGAAGTTCTTCTTTGGTCATCTGTAATGCTTGGGCTTTGTCCATGATGCGTTTTTTCGCAACTAGAATGGCAACTTTTAAATTGGCTGATTCTTTCTGATAGTGCGAATTTATTGCATCTTGGGATGCATTGGATTCTTGGCGTAGAGCATCCATCCTCCTAAAAAGTGGAAGTATTTGATTAATTAAGATGTGAATAAGTTAAATTTTAAACTAAATTTATGCACCTTATTGTTTCCTGTCTTTTTTTAATATCCAAAATTTCCTGCTCACGCAGAGCTATTAGACGTTTGAGTTCTTGCGTTTTCAGTTCGTCGTCGTGAGTTTTATCAGAATTCCTGCGATCGAGGGCTTTCCGATGGTCGACGGCCTTCTCCAACTCTTCGCCAAATAATAGCAAACCCTCACTTCGAAGACGTTCATAACTACAATAACAATTATAATTATAATTAAATTGCACGCCATTAATTACGGATCCTTAACTACTTATGAAATTGGTTCAAATTACTCTTTGACTTCATCCTCGCTCAGAACATTGCCTGGTTTCAGTTTGGACATGATGGTTTTGAGAAGTTGGGTCATTTTCTCATCCTTAAAGACGTAGTCGAGGTGCTCCGGCTTCAAGTTTTTTGGAGCTTCGTATCCCAACGACTTAAAAAACTTTAAGAGGTCCTCCGACTGAGTTGCGTGTTCCGGTGGGAAGTCATGCTGGAGCAAAGAAGAACTTGGTTTGTTCCTCGACTTTGATGTTGTCGACGATGAAAAGTTGGAAGAGCTTTGCGGAATCCGGCTGTTGTTCTTTTTGGACATTTTTCTAGGCTGGAAAATAGATTAAGAGTGCATAATTAATAATAGATTAATAATTTTGCGTTTTTTAAATAAAAAATAAAAATATTAAATCATATTTTGCTTTACTTATGTTTCGGACTCTGAGGACTGTGTGACTATGTGTGACTTGCGATGGTGGATGGTGGAGAGACTGACTAAAAATTTTCACAAAATTACACATTAAGTTTGGCAAGGCACTGCCACAATTACACAATTACCAATGGGACGCGGAGGGAGGAGATCCCTTAAAACTTTAACCAATGATAGGAGAGGTGACAAAGGTTCACAAGGTTCACAAAAGGTTCAAGGGAGCACAAAAAGGTGAGATAAGACGTGGACAAATTTCCACTTAAATCCAGACTGACTGGCAACTAATTTGAATTTTTCTCTCTGATTCACCGTGCATGTACATATATAAATCCTCATATGAAAAAAACATACAAATCATGAAGTAAATCATTATCATCATCTAGTCAATGTTCTTTAAAAAATAATTATGCAAATCTCGACGACATATTCCGTTCCGACTCAAGCAATCGGTGTCCCCTTCACTAGTGTAACTAATGTCTTTCCATCAGGACAGGGAAGAGCTATTCTAAACCGAGTTACGTGCTTCCCCACACGATCAGTTATATAATAATATGGAAATATCTAACAAAAGCAACATTTCTCATCGTGTGGTGCGTACAGGTATGCATGTGTCCTTATTCGGCCATCGGTCTAACTGTCTGTCGGTCCGTCTATAACTTTCGAACGGAAGAGAATTTTGACATGCGGTTTTCACTAACGTGTTTCTAAATTTTGGGAGGAGTTAAGTTCGAAGATGGTGGAGAATAAATTATATTTTACTATCATGGTATTTAGGCGTGTCACCTTATTTGCATAAATCTCGTACTCCTGCTGGAGATACGCTTAGTTCACACCAGGCAAGTCGTCCCCCTCGTCTTGTCCTCCAGTCGTAAACGCGGCGAGATGAAAGGGACGAGGTCCACTTCCGGTGAGCACCCACAACCACTCCGACTCTGGCATACACACGATAAAGTAGGATATCCAGAGAGTGAAGAAGATAAGGTAGATTATGATAAAGCAGATTTTGAAGAGATAATGGTACAATTCCGCGGAGAAGAGACCAATTAAAAAGCCGAACAGGAGGAACCAGTTCACCATTCCGATAATCGCGATTTTGACATGCTACTACATCCAATCTATTGAAAAATAATTAATTATAATTAAATTAGGGTCATCAATCAATCAATTGCACAATAATTAAAATTCAGTTTTAAAGATAACAAAACAAAGTACTAACCGTCAAATAACTTGAATTATCAAGAATGATGGACTCCAATGAATTGACAACTTTTATTACAATTTATATTACTATCCAGTAGTTATTTCTACTCAATAAATTATTGACAATAATTAGTATAAATTAGTGAAAAAGTGGAAAATTAAATAATTTTATGTTTGACGACGAATAGGAAAATACAAGTATCGAGTGTTTTTCTAACAAGAAAAAGTTCCCTCGTAAACGGGCCAGATCGTAAATGGGGAAACTTGCATTTTGCATTTTGGATTTTGAAATTTGCATTTCGTTGGTCACATAAGTACGGAAATATGAGTTGACTAAATAAATAGTTATCCAAGTAGTTATCTGACAAATGATGGCCAAATATGGAAATCGGGAAACCAGCATTTTGCATGATGAATTTTAATCCTGAGCAAGTGAAAGAATTTTTTCATGCAAAAACTTGATAATTTTAATTTCATGCATTTTTTTATCGCTAAAAAATGTGGTAACCAAATATTTTGCTTGTTATATAATATATCTAAATTAGATTTATATCGATAAGTAAGTTTTAAACTGTTGTAAAATTTAGCTAAAAATTCTTGATTATGAAAACGTACATAAATATTTAAATAGTAGAGTTATTCTGGTAAATCCAAATTACCCGATTCAATTAAAAACATACAAAAGTAGAAAAGTACAAGGCATGGCAATGCTACATATATAAATGACTAACACTATTATCTCACTAAATATCACAAAACCAATTAATTTACAATACTAAGATTATCGTGTTAAAACTATTTGCGGATATATTTTTTTTGGTTTTGTTGAATTTTATTAGAGGTTGAAAAGACAAAGACTATTTTTACAAGCATTTCATACTTCATTCGGACACAACAGTGCGGAGAAAATTAACTCCTTTACTACTACATGCTAATTTGCTTATATATTTATACATTATTCCTTATACGTTATCATACCAAAGTTTTCTTTGGAGTAGAAAATTTTGACAATACTGGCTTTAGTTATTTTTATACTTACTTTTATCGACAAACAAGACCTCATTTCTTCGCTGTTATTCGTAAGTATCATTGGAGGAGATTGTTGAATTTTGATAATGAAATAAAAATTTAGCCGCAAAATTCGCCGAATTAATGATCACCGCCACTGGGGTTAGAAGACCGTGGGTGTTGAGGTCCTTGAAGCTTGAATGACCGTGGTGGTGGTCCTCCCTGGGACCCTTGCTGCTGCTTGGGGCCATTCCCTTTCTCAAATGCGTGATGAGTGAAATGAGCTGTAATGAAATGAGGGAGGAAAATGTTTAGCAAATTAGAAGAGAAAATTAAATAGCAGATACGAATTGACTTACGCTTGTAGAACGTCGCAATGAAAACGGTATCCGGTAAAATGAGACTCAGATATTGCAAAATCTTCGAATCCTTGGCAAGCTCCGCGTTCGTGTTCCAAATCAAAATGCAATCTTCTTTTTCACGCGTCGAAATAGAAATTCCACAAATCTCGTCCTTTTCATGAATAAATTCATTAAACTGTTCTCCAATTGCGGCCAACAGCAATTCAATCCATACTTTATTCTAGAAAGTCATAAATAATTAGTCCATCAACAATTAGTATTGGTACATTATAATTTGAATGAAATGTATCCATACCGAATCTTTCTTTTGAACCCGAAGCCGGAAGGTTCCTCCTTTGCAGTTGTACTCCTCTTCCCACACGGGCTTTCGATCATCTCTCATCATGTGCAAGCTATTAATTAATTACGATCACAATTATTTTTCCCCATTTAATAGGCAAGATTAATTTTAAATATCTGCTCACCTGCTTCTCGGCTGCAGATCGGAAGGCTTTGGTATATTGTAGTACACCGCCCAGAAACGTTGAACCGTGTAAAAGGTGTAGATACACCGGAGATTAGAATTATATTGTTCCAAATTCACTCCTCGTTCAGTTCTGGAAACATTATAAAAACCAAAATATAAAATTGCTCATCAATTAAATCCTAAAATTAACAACAATCTCACTTGTCCACCCAGAACGTCCACGGGTTGTTCAACGGAATGGGATCCGTGGAGTAAATGTTCTTTTTCTGGCTCAACATTTTTTCAAAAAGCTCCTTCAAGGAAGGTTGACCCGGAGCGAATCTATCGACATCTTGAAGGTTATGTTTTTGTTGGGAGGTGATGTCCATGAGGGTGTCACCATCGCCTCCTCCTCCCTTCAGATCTCGTTCTCGTGGAGATGCCGTCATTTTGCCCATCATGGCAACAACTGCTGGACTCCCAGGGGGTGACATTGGCATCATCTGCAAATACAGACATAAGTTCGTCATATGTAAGTGCGTCAGTCTCACATTTCATTCATTTCTCAATACTGCGAACAATATGTAAGTAGCACAGATCTTGAGATTGAGTGAATCGGGTCAATGTTCTTTTTGAGTCGCATTTTGCCCATTTTAATCTCAATTTCTCAACCTTCCATATTTCTCAACTTGAACTCATGGAAGTTGAGTTGAACTCGAGATGAATCTCAGTCAACTTTTGTCACTAATATCTATGTAATCCTCTTTTTCATGGAAAATTAATTAGTTTCCGAAATAATGCCCAAATACAAACAACAATATTGACCCTTATCATGCATGGAAAGTACGCAGAACAATAATAAAGTATGAAAATAAGATTAAACTTTGGACTTGAAAACAAATCCCAAAATAGCGTAAATAGGAAATTAACTGCGCTCAAGTCTAGAAAACACGTTCTTTTGGCACAACAAACATGACATATTCGCAACATGCGAATCGCAAAAGTGACCTTGAATTGACACTTCTTCTCAACTTCCCCATTAACTAACCAAACTAAACTAGCCACTAACTAAGCTAACATCGCATAATGTCACATCCAAATTAACCCATCAATTAAAAAAACGTTTTGCAACATAAATTAAAATTACTCTAAAATTGATGAACATTCCCATGAAAAAAAAATCTGTAAAAATTTCTCAAAATTATTTTTCTCATGCTGCTTACATACAAATACATTTCTCAACTTTCTCACTAAACTAACCTAACATCGCATCATGTCACATCTAAACCCACCAATTAAAAAAAAACGTTTGTAAGACTAATTACTATAAAATTGATGAAAATTCAAAATCAAAATTTCAAAAAAAATTGAATTTTCTCCTCCTTCTTATCTTACCTTACTCGCCATTGTTCTCACAATTCATCCACTTCTATAAAATGGGTTGTTGGTAATCGGTTCAGGATATTTTGGGATTAGATTAAAAAATTTGATAAATTTCCAAGAGTAAGTTTTCACATCCTACTTCTCGCTACGCTAAACTTAGACTGACGACGACGGAAAAAGGAGTCGTCGCAATCTCGCCTTGGTTTTTTCTGCAGCGAGAGAGAAAAAAAGAGCAGAGGTCAGTTTTCTCGCTTCTCCGCCGTCATCCGTTCCTCGACCTCTGTTTTGCTTGGCTGCTGAATCAACAGCCACCACCACCACCACGTTAAAGCTTATCCTCACCTTATCCAAAATAATATTTAATTAATATCGGTTGCACGATAAGCTCATAAATTTTATGATTAGCATGCACTTTTAATTCATTTTCCACTTTTTTATAGCAGATAAATAAATGCATACATAGTTCAGATAGTATAACGTAATGTAAAAGTGATGAGTAACGTAAATCTGAATAGTTAATTATAAATTACATAAATGAATAATTATAATTTGAAAATGATGATTAACGTAGATATATGTATAAATCTGAATATTTAACCTAGAACTCATCACTAAAAGCTCAAAGTCAGCACGTGTTTTTAATCATTTTTCGGCTCTGGGAATTTATTCTAAAATTCTGGACGACAAATTTGTAGTCAGTGAGTTGATTAATGGAATGGAGGTGAGGTTTTAAGCCAGTTTTGATAAGTTCCAATTTTTTTGAAGGGTTCTTAACCTTGAGATCTCCACCTTTAGAAAGTGTCAAAATCTGGAGAAATGATTAGAAATGTGCTGATTTTGACAATTTTAGTGATGCATTAACTGTAAATTACAGGGACATAATGACTCGTAACGATCTATCGGGTTGGAACTGAATAAATTGTAATGTTGAATTAAAGTGGTTTAGAATTTAGGGCTTTCCCATTAAAAAAGTTGGACACGGTTTTGACCGCTTGGCCAAAGTTATCACAGGCTTGGAACCGTTTATTGATCCAGTTTGGCAACTGGGCTTGTTGAAGGGGTCGAGTGTACCGGTGATCTAGCAGAATGATGGCTGCGTAGTCGGAAGAGTGTCGAATGGCGCGACCGATTGATTGATTGACAGCTTTGGAACACATGTTAGTTAAGAGTTGATTGCCTTTTTCGGACCCCTAAATGATAAGGCGAGCATGAATAATTAAGAGAAATTATATGGAAAATTATAGTTTGCGTGACTTACTAATCGGCTCGAGACGAATTTTACTTTCTCTTTTATTTCCAAACTCATTATGTTTGGAAACGGGAGACCAACTACGACAACGCAACGTCCGAGATCATCACTGAAATTGATCCCTTCGCTGAGTTTTCCTCCCACGACGGCAAAGAGGACCGCACCACCGGGATTGTTTTTGATTTGGCGAGAGTATTCGGTTAAAATGAGGTCACAATTTGAGTCTTTTGGCTCTCGGAATATCTACATAAATAAAATGTCAAGATAAGTATTATCGCAAATGGGTGGTTATCAGCAATTAAAAAATCATATGCAAACCTTTTTCCTAGCTTCGATCTTTTCTTTGTATCCTGACGATTGCAAATGTGTGAATAGCGTTGTTTCATAATCGTAGGACGGGAGAAAGCAGACAAGTCCACCGGGCACCATTTTGCTCAAGTTGAGCAAACTACGACTTAATTCTTCCATCTAAAATGAATTTAATAATTTTCATAAATCCAAACACTGATAAGCTATTCATCCTTAGTTGATGAATTGTTATAATTAACTCACCAGGGCTGGAGAACTTCTGTTCTTATATGTAAAGTCAAACGGTGTTGAGGTCGGCCCCTTGCTGAGGGCTAAACAGACAATATTTTCATCTGGAATGACGTGGTCACAAGAAAAGTGAAAAATTCTGTCTCTGGCAGATTGAAACAATTGATCTTCAATTTCATCGTACGGCTTCATCGTGCCACCAGCCAAGATTATACTTCTAAAAGACAAAAATTAGTTGAAGTTTCTTGAATTTTGAAACCCTTTTAAATAAAATTAAAAGTCTTAACTAAAGTACCGAGCAGATTTAATCAATTCTTGAAAATGATCTGATGTATTTAAAAGTAGGAACTTTAGCGTCTTCTTTTCCAGAATGATTCGACCTTCCGCATCAAAAGTTAAGAGGGATTTGAAAAATTCACTAAAGTTTAGGACAGCTTGTCCCGCAAAGGATTTTGTCCTCCTCTCAACAACAGGATTATCAAGGGCAGGATTTGGGGTTAAATTCTTCTTATTTTCTTTTCCTTTAAGTCGATTATTAACGGATTCTTTCTTTGAATTGGTACCCTCGTCTGCTTTCTTTTGAGATTCTTCTTCCTTCTTCGTGGCAATTTTTTCTTGCTGGTGCACATATCCTTTCAACTAGAATTATAAATTTACTACAGTTAAAATAAAATTGAAAAAAGTATCTTGTTATTTTATTACCTTAAATATTAGCTTGGAAGCCTTAATAAACTTTGATAGCTCGTAGAGATCCAAATTATCAATTCCAATCGAGACTTTAAATTCATGAATACTCAAAATTTTGGATTCTGCGTCTCCTGTGCTTCCTGTATAAAAATATTGTTATTATAAATTCGACTGACCAATTTGCGCCAGTAAAGAAAAGCTCACCAACAAACTGCAGCAACGACTTCAGAACAAATGCAATTTGTTTTAACTTTAGCAAGTTTTTTGTACTGGATCTGCTCATATATCGGGTCATATAGGATTTCAAAGCGTTCGAACAATCTTGCAGTTGCTGGAAAGTGATCGAGTTTGAGTACATGTTTGAGATTGATTCAATCAAATTGTGAGCTTCGTCGAGTAGAATGACGGACTTGTTCACTTTCAGTCCAACGCCTTCTCTCGTCCCAGAATGCAAAATTGTATTGTATGGGACTAACACTAATTGGGCGTCTTTTGCTGCCTTTCTGGATGCGTAATAAGGACAAGCCCCACACTTTTTTCCGGCATTGACCAAGTCTTCGATGTCCATTGGTTCTGATAAAATCTGTAATTTCACTCAGGCTATCAATTTTGTAAATGATTAAAAAACAAATGTTATTGACGAGGCATACTTGACTCTTCAATTCCTCAATTCCGGAAAAGTTAAAATATTCACAGCCTGAACATGTTTTTTGCTTTTTATTTTCTGACGTCTGCTTGCCTTTGCTACTTTTTTGAAGATCGAGGCATCTAAGAATAGATACAAATTAATCAAATTAATTGGACTGTCGATAAAAATAATAATATTAAAGTGATGTTTAAGTTTAACCTTTCATTAATCAAGGACAAACTTTTAAGCCGAGTCACTTCAGAATTAATGCAAAGATTTTGACGCGAACTGAGCGAAACTGCAGTGACTTCTTTTGCAAATTTTGTACGTTTCAATTCATTCGCAAATTGACCTGTTGTATCAAATAAATTACATAATACGATAAATAGTACATCATAAAATTACTAATGTTTATGGGCCATACCAATTTGAGAATGTGTTCGGGATGCAAAGATAATCTGGAATTGAGATTATTGGTAATTAAACGGTGCGTGAATACCCTCTAATAGAATATGGAAAAATTGACCAAAATCTTGTCTTTTACCCGATAAGAATAAAATTCGGGTTCTTCATCCAAATCGTCATCGTCTCCTTCAGAATCAGAGTAATTTGTCGGGGCGAAGTCGTCATTTAAAATTAAATCGTCCAAGTCTGGTTCGCCTCCATCGTTCTTCTTTTCCTCCCCGTCTTCCTTCGTAACTTGCTTCTTCGTACTTGTGGAGAATTTTTGTCGGTTCGCCAATTCTGATTTCTTCTTAAGATAATCGCTCCTCTTTTTGATGAGTCCTTGATGGAAGGAGAGTTCTCTCCGTGCCTTCGAAACCATTCCAATTATTCTTCTCGTTTCAATTTGCGCCTTGACCCAGTCATTTGACTCTTTTTCTTTGCGATCTGGCAGAACGAAAATAAACATATCTTGTCACCACTTTATTAAATTAACTTAATAAGGAACATTTAAGGAACATTTATAAATGTTCTTTTTTGCATGTAAAATGTATTTACCAAGCTCCGTGATGTCCACGCTGTTCAGTAATTCCTGCAAATAGTTGACCCGTTCTTGTTCCCTTTGCTGGAGCCAGGTCAATGCGCCACAAAGCAAGCTGAGTGACTTACCCTGATAATCATAATAACATCATAATTTAATAATTTACACATTAAAATACATAACCACCGCTTTCTTCGAGAGCATATTTACCGTGCCAGTCGGACTTTCAAAAATTCCCAATCGCTTATCTTCCATCGCTAAGAAGAGGGCTGTCATGAATTTTACTTGGATGTCGTAGGGCGTAAATGGGAAGGCAAAATCAGTCGGTGGTTCGAGGCGTCCTTCTAACTCCAATTTTTGCTCCATCGCTGACCCTGACCCTGACTGACGCCTATAATTTACAAGTTTATAGACTGCAAACTATTAAGGCATTTAAGCTATAATTGTAGTTAATTTAATGATAATTTAAATCGGAGAAATCAGCGAAATTCTTTAGCAGAGATCTAAAAATTTATCAGTTTTGCTTTGTTATTTTGTGTCAGTGAACGAGCTCGTGCCGATTGCCGCGATATTTTTTGCACATTTTTGAGAAATTCTCATTCTACGTTTGCAGTTTGACGTTGTATTTATTTGCGTATTTTGCGAATATTAATTAATTAATTGATTGCTAACTTTGCAAATATTTTTCTTGAGTGGATTCTGCGGAGCTGAGGTGGGGACAGCGTTGGTCTTTAAAATCCGACAGGTTTTGACCTGTTCCAGGTCAGTAGCTAATTTTGATTTATAATTTATTGTTTTTGAATTAATTAAATGTGTAAGATAATTAATATGGATTAATTAATGAGTTGTGTTCTATTATCTAGGGGAAGAAACGATGAAATAATACATTGTTAACCAAATTGAACCACATTAATTAATCCAAATTTACAATGGAGGCGATCAAAGCCGAAATTGAGCGAAAGCGGAAACAATTGGAAGATTCGAAGGTCGTGTCTGGTGGACAAAAGTATTTCAAACGGTCCGAGTTAATGGCAAGGAATGAGGAAGCTTATCTAGTTCGACACGGTCTTCAGAAAGCTGCGACAAATGAGGCGAATGCAAAGTTTGCAAAGGTATCCGGGATGTTTAATTTGAACAAATTACTTATATATCGGTAATTGAGAGCTTTAGTAAGTAATTGTGTGTATTTAATATTTAGGCCAATGCTTCAGTCAAGGTAGAAGTTCCAAAAGCTGGTTCTGGAAATATGGAGGACCTCCCTAAACTATCGCGACGAGAAGTTATCCGTCGTTTAAGAGAACGTGGCGAACCAATCCTTCTTTTTGGCGAGACGGAAGAAGAATCATCAAGACGGTTGAGAAAAATGGAAATCCTTGAGCCAGAAGTAAATCGTGGTTTCCGCAACGATTTTCAAGCCGCTTTGGAACAAGTGGATCAAGCTTATCTGGAGGAAATTATCAGAACGTCAAAATCTGGACCAGGACAGGCTGCAGATAAGAAGAAGAAACTGGGGGACGTTCACGTCATGGAGGACAGCTATACGTACGACGTCATCGTTCCAAAAGCGCAGGAAGTCTTTTCAAAATCTAAGAATATGGAGGAGAGAGCTAAAACTATTTTGGAATGGGTCAAATTCTTATTGAAATGCTGGGGAAAGTATTTAAATTCGAGGTCTGAAGAAGAAAAGTTAGCCATGAGGGGAAAACTATCCTCTGCAACGTATACGCAGACAGTGGTAATTATTTTAAACATTAATTGGACAGTACAAAATTTATGTTTCGTTTTTACATGATTTTTTTTTGCAGGAATATATGAAACCACTTTTGCGAAAATTAAAAAGCTGCACATTACAAGACGATATTCTCGAGTGTTTAGTGGACATTGTCAAATTCATGTTGGACAAGGAGTATATTAAAGCTAACGACGCGTAAGTAAAGTTATTTAGAATAAAATGTAATGATATGAATCAATGAGAATTTGAATCAGCCCCTAATGAATTTGCATAATATGTGATTTACTAGATATTTGGAAATGGCTATCGGCAATGCTCCTTGGCCTATCGGAGTAACGATGGTTGGTATTCACGCAAGAACTGGGAGAGAAAAAATTTTCTCGAGGAATGTCGCTCACGTAATGAATGATGAAACGCAGAGAAAATATATCCAAGGGCTAAAACGGTGTGTACTTTACCTGCATTTTCTAAATCTTGAAACTGTTGATAAGTAAAATTGCAAGTTTTATATTATTTTATTTTTCGGTTCACCACCAGATTAATGACAAAATGCCAACAAATGTTTCCAACGGATCCATCAAAATGTGTGGAATATCAGCCTGAAGCGTGTTTAGATATTGAAGATAAAGCAAGCTCATCTGCAACTTGCAAGAATGCGGCGCAGTCGGAATAGATTTTAGTAGATTGTAGTGATTAGAATTCTATCGACAAACCAAAATCGATCAATGGTTGACCATACCGTCACTGCTGGACACTTCGATCTTAGCCAAAAGGCCGAGAAATCCAGACGAGAACAATTATGATTATAATTTCATGTAAATGAGGTGAATTAGATTATAAATATTAATAAGACGACTTTACTGATAAAACTATGTAGGTAATCATATGCGCTCGTGGAATTTGTTTTATACTATTAATTACTATTTAATTACATGCAAATAAAGTATTTTATTTTATTTTAAAATAAATTAAACTCGATGAAAGCTTGTGTCACATAACCCGTCTCCAGACGTAGCAGGAATATTGTCTTGAGTAATTAGTAGGATGCGATTAATTGTTTCGAGAATGTCAACCTGTAATGCAAATTCGTATTTATGTAAATAATTTAAAATATCCCTTTAAAACAACGCTATTTTGAAATACCTACTCACATTGCAAATCAACTTTGTGCACGCCCTCGACACCAAGGCCGGCGCGATGAATATATTTCCAGTGACGTAATCTTGAACGTATCCATCGATAACAAAAATATCCAAGACATAACATAAGCTGGGATACTGAAAATTGTGCCTCAATTGGGACGCAAGACCGTTCAAGATGCATTTGCACCTTGTCACTGGGCCACGAATGAAAATAAAAAAATAATTAGAATTGCAAAGATACAAATCAGAGAAAGTTGCCTGGTAAAAGTTTGTCGTAGGTAAGAAAGCTGATCCTCTCCGAATTCCGCACGATCTCCACAATCGAGCTTCAAGACTGTCGTATGGATCATTATTCACTAACTGACCTGCCACCAAAATTTTCACAGGCTCCTCAGTCAATACGCCTTGCTCGAATTGCCTCCAATATGAGATCTACCGTACAAATATTCATTTAATGCTTAAATGTCTTGAAGCAACTGATCGAGAAATCAAAACTTGAAGTGTTACTTTTAAAGCCTTCAAAACTCTAAGCCGTGCTTCCTCCGTCATTCATGACCCTGTATTTACTCCTCATTGCTAGGTTAATTTTCCATCAAACTGTTGCATTGGGGGCACGGATGCTGCTGTGTATCGTCGTGAAAGGACAGGATTGACGTTTCCGGCCTGGGCTTTCTGGATTTAACGATGGCCTAGAATAGAATGTGAATATTCCTCAACAGACTTTTGGACTCTGACTGTGCATGCTACAGCGATTGATGATGATTAGTTACATCTTTGTAGATTTCATTCATGAAAGTTATGAACAATTAGTCAATAAATTTTTAACCACTTTCTTTCTGTCATGAATATTTATGTAAGCTTTCGCGTTGTATTTATTCAATTTCAATTTGGTTTTGCATAGTTGAACAATGTAAGATTATTGCATAGGTCATTATTTATTAGGTCAAATGTATAGATTAGGTCGACGAAAAGGTCTTTTTGTTCATAGTAATTTCTACATGATTATTGTTCAATGGATATGGCTAGTACAGCTCCTATTGCTATCTTTTTTATACATACATACATTCACGGTTTTTTGCATAGTAAATAACAGGTCGATTTCTATTTAGATGAAATACTGAGCTCGTTCTTCCTAAATTGTGCAGAATTTATACAGGTTTGCATTGAGGCGTGTAATATTTAGGATAAATAATTATTGTATTAGTTAGTCCATCGTGAGCTTGAAAGTTACAGTTGGCTGAGTCAATTCAAACGGGGGGAAACGAGTGCTGTGCTTACTTATGGGGAGATTGTTTTTCATGGATTATTACAATGAGCAAGTTAAGCATTATTAGATTGGTTTTGCGTTATTTCTACATATAATACATTCAGGTAAAGTAAAAGTCTAATGATTTTCCATTCATCTTTGGTAATAATATTTAATAGTGATACATGTGGGGACGTTCGTAAACTTGATAATGCAGGAGTGGGTGGTGGTCCGTGCCTTTGTGACACATGTTCAAGGGGGGTTGGTGGGTGTCAAGAAAATTGCGTTACGAAGTTTACGAACGTCTGCAGAGCTGCCAAGCTGTGTTGCTGAATCAGTTTTTGTGCATAGGTGTGTAGTAGGTACATAGTCCGATAGTTTGTTTGTTTGTATGGCCGGTGGAGAGATTGTACATTTTAAAACTTTAGATTGGGACCCATAAGGTTTTTGATTGTTCTTTCTCAACCGCGGTCTTGGCTTGGGTTGCCAAATATGAAATGTTTGTTCCGCCAGGGACGCACGCTGGTGAAAGAAAGATATAAAAAATAGATAGATAGAAATTGATTTGATACTTTCTTATCAAACATTGACCAACCTGTGATCACGTGCTTGTACTCATTCTCAACTTTAAGCGAGTGTTCGTACAACTCTTTAGCTGCCTTTTGTGATATCTTATCGCATCGCAAGTCTTTGATGCTCAAGTCTTTAATTTCTCGTATTTGCTTCGGGTTCTTGAATTTGATGAGTAAGACGATAGGATACATTTGCGATTGGAGGAGACGCTCGACTCCAGACGTGCTGATGTCCATGATGCAGTATAGTTTCTAAGTGGTGTTAAAAATAATTAATTTTTTATCATAGCATTTGAATATATTCATTGATATGTAGCACCAATTTTTAGCTACCTTTGAACGAACTTCATGAATAGCAGTCATTGTGACACACTGGAAATATTTATTTAGATATTAGATTGCTTATCATTTACTGTTTAGTATTTAATAATGAGTCCAATTTTATGTTACCTCATAATGTGATCCTTTCCGTTTGTAGTCCACAATCTTATTCTCGTTCATCTTGTCCAGAAAAAGATTTTTGGTCAGCCCATCCTGCAGCATTGGACCGTCGCAACGCATAAATTCAGGTATTACTTTGGCGAATCTGCACATAAACAATTCCATAATTAAAAGTTAATTTAACGGTATAGTAAGTCGTGAATTACTTACTGGTATGGAAAATCTTGGACTAATCGTTCTGCAATCAGATCGCTGAGAGCACCCACCAAAATTACGGGGCGAAGAAAGTTCATATCTGAAATTAAAGTCGTAGATTATTATCACACAAATAAGAAAAAAAGAATACAAATTAGAACATGGTGAGGAAAGAAAATTGAGTGGCATAATGAATCTAACCCATTTTTCCATTTCGTGACAGACCTTTGGAACATTTCATATATTTTTATAAGAATTATGGGAAGAATAAGACAGGAAAAAGACATAATTCACAGATAAGTAACGTAGCAAAAATAATCATATCATTCTTACAATCTAATCGCTCCACCCGTTGATAAGATGTGAGTGGGAGGATGCTATCATCTTTCATGGGAAGGCCATGCTGACCGGCCAAGTCTCCGTAAGAATTGATGGAAAAGTCGGAAAATGAGGCCAATTCGCGAGACGAACTTCGATGGTGGGATTTTCTTCGGAAAAAGCTTCGTCGCGTGACTGTAGAGCTTCTTCGATCGCCGTCCAGATCGCCAAGACTTCGTTTAAATAACATGTCCTCCTCCACCCTGTAAAATAATGGCAAAAATTAATAATAAATAAATTAGTTGACTAATTGACTAGAGGGAAAATAGGTGGAAATATTACTTGTATTTTGACGGAATTATTCCCCAAACTCTGGTGTGACCTGAAAAAATTTGAACATTAATTACAGTCAGTAATTTGTATTAAAAAAGGTTATAAGTAGGCGGCGGTGGTTACCTTCGGCATCGACTTTCCACGCTCTCCATCGACCAGGTTTTCCATTGTACATTGTATTGTCCACGTACCTTAATTGAGTATACATACATAGTTTGAAATGATAGTTATCACCGTTATGATTTGCTTATCAACGTCGACTTACAGAATCTCATCCTTTAAGAAGGTCAACTGTTGTGGGTCAACACTACTAGCTTGGTGGTGATGATCACTGGATAATGCTGGATAGTCGAATAGGGCTCGGATGTAAAACCCATCCCCAGGTTTATCCTTGACGTCATTGTATCCTTTAAAAAATAATTTTTGAATTTAGTTGATAAAGATCTTGGACTCTTTTTATACATTTTAGATTGACATACTTTGTAGATTATATTGCACTAAAATTCCAACTTTGTTTAACGGTTTGGCCAGTTCAAAAGCAGCCTCTTCTGCCGTCGCGTGACGCAAGTCGGTTCCATTATATTCCTTAATTTGATCCCCAGTCCTACACGTTAACAACAAAATGATTCCATTCTTCCCACAAAATTTTGATTATTTTTACAACAATACTCTACCTCAAACCGGCCCGATCTGCGACAGAGTCTGTTTGCACGCTATGAACGTAAATCCCAACCAAATTTCCACCAACTAAACAAATTCCCAAATTTGACGAGTTTTTCATAAGTTGCAGAGTGAGAAAGCGCGTCTGGTCTTGTAATAGCATTTTCCCTTCTCCGCCATCAGCTCCTCCCACGCCAACCGCACTGCTGGCCCCTCCACTACTTCTCGTCGATCGCAAGGTCGACTGTTCAGACGGAGGGTCACGGTCACCACGATCTCCTCCGCCGCCACCACGATCTCCACGATCCTGCGTCACTCCAGACAGTGCAAACGCTTGTTTAATTTGTTGCTGTTGTGCCTGACTGAGTCCATTCGATTGAGTTGAAGATTGCTGACTGTTTTTACTTTTGGGAAGGCTATTGTTTGCACTTGAGTGGCCACTTGACTTTTTTGGCAAGGAACGATCCGTCGCATTGCTCGCGGACAAGGAGTGTTTATGCTGAACGCTCGAGTTCTTTTTAGAATTTCTGACTAAAGTTGACTGAGGAGAGTTGCATGGGGTAGGAGAGCCGGAACGGGAGCCTGACCTGGAGTCAGTGGTGGAGGAGTTGTGATCATCGTTATCTGGAGAGGAGGAGGATTCACCGTCTTCATCCTCTTCGGAACTGGTTGCTCGGTCGTCTATTGAAGAAATTAGGATATCATTGCAAGAAAAAGGTTAATAATAATAGGATTAGTAATTAATACGCACTATCATGAACGCAATATTTCTCCGGTGTGTATTGCACAAGTAGAGTGAGAGGATCTCCCGACTCGCGTAACACTTTAGCGGCCAAGTCGTACGTAGCTATTCGCATATTAATTCCACAAACTTCGAGTAATTGATCCCCAATTTGTAACCCGACTTGTGACGCGAGCGAGTTATCTGTCACGTGGGAGACGAAGACGCCTCCACCGTTGGCGTTGCAGGATATCTGAATAAATATAACAGTTAATTTATATATTGCGTTCAACTGTTTAATTTATGTTGATAATTATACCTGGATTCCAAGAAATTCTGTAGATTTGTCGTACTTGTCGATCCTAATCATTCGCAATTCCCCAGGTGCAGGTTTTCTGGGCCAAATTCCGTATTCACCAGCACCCGCAGAACCAGCGCCAGGATCCAATACCTAATAGAACGACAGATATTTGCATATTTAATTTCGTTATATAGAAACTAGAAAAACAAAGTTCCCATGCTTGGAGCAATTAGTATGATACCGTTATTCTACGCTTTGGACCAGCCTTATAATTTAGTAGCAGCATGAAATGATCATTAATACATGAAAACCTAATAATTCCTTCACAAATCAACTGTTCTTTTAAATACCTGAATGTGATATGTGGGCATCGGACTATTGCGCAGGTCAACCTTCTCCGTGGAACTTCTACTACTTTGGTTGGAAGGAATCCGAATCCTGTGGGGTTCTCGGTTTCGAGGGAATGTGCCCGACGGTTCAATTTGGTAGCTTGGTTGTAACAGCAGATCGTCCGAATTCCTAAAATTGAGTCGGGTACCGCTCGAAGAACCGTGCGACATGGACATTGAAGACTCTTTATTTCCGTGTGAATGACTGTAGTGGAGGGAGGAGGGTTCAAACGCGTAGCTAGAGTTTGAAGGTTTAGGAATTGAGAGGGGTAACGTTCCACTATTTGAAGATGACATGGTTGGTCCTCCTCCTCCGAGAAGTTCGTGATAGTGTCCCGCGTAAGGAGAGGAGTAGGGATTGTTGTGGTAGCGGCCGTCCAGTGTGCTTGTTCCGCTAACGTTGGACGGAATAGAAGAGTGTCCTCCGATAACTTTAAGTTGAAGTAGTGCAATTAATTGTTGTTAATTGTATGTTAATAATTCTATGCGACTTACGATTTGACATTGTGTTACTTTTCGCAGTATTTCCCATCCCCAAGGATGGTGGCATCACAACTTTGTCCAAGTGATCACTTTCACTACTGTTGTTCTGGTGCTTGACCATTTGTCGTTTATTTACGTAATACTCTAGGATTTCCATGTTGCCGGATTTCACAGAAAAGTCAATACTGGAACCGTCCGATATTGCGGGGACTACGCTGTTACGTTCTGGCCTGAAGATAAAATAAATATACGAATTTTAAATCACCTTATTTTGGAGTATTTACACTGTTAGAAATCTGGTATAATCCGGCAGGTATTGATTTCTCGGTATTAACGTTGCTACCACTTGGTATTAAAATTATACCAGTCCGTAAAAATTTGCTACCGATACGGCAAAACTTTAATACTAAGCTATTACTACAGGGTATTACTTATCAATCCCACTTTTATTAGTCATATATGAATACCGCTTGGTATTGTTTTAATACCGGATTTCTAAGAGTATTCTATCATCGTTGATCTATTACATACCCCTTCCCCAACTTTGACGACGACGGGGTTGGATCAAATACTCCGAAAGAATATCGATAATGTGGCATAGAACCGGGTGTCGGGAGTCCGTGGTTATCCAGAAGGAACCCCCCACTTCCAGGACGAGTATGACCAGCAAGGGTAAGACTTTTGGTATTATATCCGTAGTTATTCATCCCCCCACCACCACCACCTCCACCCATGGAGATGGCCCCCACACTTTTTGAAGGATGAGGAGGTTGCAAGTCCCACAACATGTTGGACAAAGGGACGCGATCCTTTCCACTACTGGGTCGTCGAACGCAGACAGTATTGCTCGTCATATTCCCAGAACCCGATCCCCCCATCGGCATGTACTGCCCGTAGTAGGACGACGTCTCTCGGTAATGATTAGTTGAAGGTGAATTTTTGTCCGTGGGGGCACGGGAACCTGATGAAACACCTGAAATTACATAGATCGAAAATTTATTCGCTGCACAGATTGCGATAAAATGATTAATAGTGCTGACCCCCATCCTTTGGCAAAGTGTACGAATTTCTCGACATCATTCTCGGCCATGTCCCCATATTTTCAGTCCCCGAGTTTCTCGAGGAGGAGACTCGTTTATTCCTCTTCTTTCGACTCGCACCCCCACCTCCACCCGCGCCGGAAGCAATGGCTGAATCCAAAGTGTCCAAAGTGGCGAGGATTTCTTCCTCTGGGGAAGATTTCTTTCTAGGAAGTCTTACTCGGAAAATATCTCGGAGTCCGCCAGAACCTGACTTTGATCCACCACCAGCTTGACGTCTGCCGTCGGAAAGAACACTGTTAGGATCAGACTTATCTGACCGTAGGGAGGAACTTGACGCATGAGCAGAAGCCTTTGAAGGATGAAGTAGGTTTTTGTTCCTATTTGGCGCATTACTTGCGCTGATTGGACTTGATAAATGGCCAGCGCTTCGACTCAAGGTGAGTACTATGGGGTCAATGTCTTCGGAAAGGGCGAGGATTGCGTCTTGCACGTTATCAATTGGGGCATCATTGATCTAAATATAGGCAAGGGACGTTTAGTAAAGTTAAATTTTAAATCGTTAAAATAAATAATCACTTACAAATAGGACTCGATCTCCAACATTCAAATTTACTTCTTTTGAAGCTGGAGAACCTGGAATAATCCTGTTAATGTAGACTCCAGGTTCCAAAACTAAACCGTGATCCGCTCCGCGACCGTTTGGCAGCTAATAGAATAAATTACAATTATAACGACAATTAGCAACTAACACAGAGGATAAGTAACCTACTTACCTTAATACTGTAATGTCCTGACGGCATATCTGAATCAATTGCGGAATCTCTAGATTCAGAGAAACTGGACGAATTGGAGAAATATTGCTGAACTCTGAGCGCTTGATGATTTTCCTTTTCAAATTCCATTTTATCTCTCAACTCCTTGAGCTGCTTTGAGGCTAGGTTCTTCTGTTTCCTAATATCTTCCGACTCGCTGAGCGCCTCAGCCAAATCCGACACGGCCCTGTCTCGCTCCTTTCTGAGACGGTCACACAGTATTCGCAAGCTTTCCCTGTGCAAAAAAAAACATATACATTAAAGTTCACATCTTAAAAGTAATAATATATGACAATACCTCTCCTGGACTATTTTATGTCGCTCACTAAACGCCCAATCTCTTCTCATCTTTGCAACATCGGCTTCTTTCGACGCTTCTGTAAATGGGGGAAAATAAAATAATACCGTTAAATGAAAACGTCCAAATTCTATTGAAATTGCAAATCTAAGCAGAAGAAGAATTACTCACCACCTTCGGCAGCTTGTAAAAAGAAAGAGACAGAGAAAATTTAGTCAATTATTATTTTAGAAGAAGAAAAAATGCAGATTCAAAAATAACAATACGCAAAAATAAAGCTTAAAGATATTTCACGGTTAAAATTGCAAAGCATCCCATTTTCGCCCACCTGCCAATTTTTCTTGCAATTCTTTGTTAATAGTTTCCAAATTTTTAATTTGTTTCTTTGACCCGGCCAGGTCATCGGTGAGTTTTTCCAGTTCCCTGTGCACCGAGTCGCGCTCACTCATTATTAAGGCGTATTCCTGATGAGCTATAAAATCCAGTGATAGACAACAGATTTAAAGTATACTTATCAACAACACGGGAAAATTATAAGCTCACCAGCTTGGCTTTCTTCAGTCAATCGTTTAATTTCTTTGTTGGCTTTAATTTTTTGCACCATGGATTGGTTAATCTCCTTCATGGCTTCGTCATGTTGTTGTTGAAGTTTGGCGAGACTTTCTTTGTATTCAGTGCGCTCCTTAAGGGCTGTGTCCCACTGCCGTATTGCTGAGGTACATTGTTGCTTGTATACGCTTCTCTCCTTGCTCGCCGTATCGTGGAGAGGTTTGATGTGACTGAGCTCTTCCTACAATAGAGGAGAAAATTCTTGGTTGACAAAATTATGTGCGAAATTTAGGCAGCTAGTTAGCAACCCTGCGTTTTAAAATGCCGTAACCTTCCTTATCTCTTGAGTTGGGCCAAAATTTCCGGAGACAGTATGAAAAACGCTCAGATTTTGACCCAACTCAAGAGATAGGGAGATAGTTATGGAAATTTTAAAAGCATAGTTTTGTTAACTGTCGCTATTACTGAATTTGTAACCTTTGCAAGTTCTAATTGGTGCACGGTCCCGGCATGAGAAGCCATTAATTCTGCGTACCGCTGGCGCAAAGCGTCGTAATCTTCTTTCATTGCTTCAAATTGCTCCACCATTCCGGAACGATTTAATGTTCCTGAATAATTAAGATTTTGTTTTATTCCAATCATTGCACCCTTAACATAATTTAATTATTTACCTCCTTCCATCATCTTTCTCTGGTTGGGCGATCCTCTCGACATTGTCGTCGTTTGGCTTGTTTGGCACCCAATTTACAATTGAACACTTTGTTATTTATTATCGTCGTAGTAGGGTTTTGTATTATCTCCTATAATAACAAATTTCTTCCTTTCATGACGCATTGTTCTTCACTTTTTCACTTCCATTGTCCTCACAATTTAAACTTTTGATTGTAAACTACTTCATATTTAAACAAATTGATTACTCTTGTCCTCAGCCCTTGACCATTGTTGGATGACTTTCACAATTCTGTTCCAAAAATAGCCTGCGATGTTGATAATAATGCTTGCTTATCCATTGCGTTTCCCCATCAGTACACAGCCAGTAAGTCGATCAGCTATCAAAGCAAAAATGAACCACGCAATTAAATATTTATCTAATCATTAAGCATAATTTATTACATTTTATTTTATCGATGGATTATGTAATATGGTTATCATTTATTTGCTTTCCGTCTTTTACTAAAAATTCTCTTACCAAATCCGACTCTGCTTATCCATTCACAACTAGCTTTTAAACACTAATAAAATTGTGTAGATTCAGCAACAAGCTGGCATTGTAATTAGGTAAATAAATAAACAACCTTCAAAATGTCACGTACGTATTTACATATTTATACACACAATTGACAGAAAGGGCAATTTTTCTAACCATAAACAAACTACAGACAGAATACTTAATTGCAATTAAATGTCTTTTTGTTTACTTTTTTCTCGCCTAAAAAAATTAAATAAATATTAAATTATTTATCTTATTTATTTATTTATTTATTTATTAAATAGCTGCAGTCAAAAAGCTGCTCTTTTTTGTACACCTTTCAAGTCGGTGTAATAATTTTGAGTGAGAAATGAAGTGGTTTTGCTATTGTGCTGCGTTGTTTTGTTGATGATCCAATCCAATCCACCACCGTCAATCTCATCTCAGTGCCACCACCATCAAAGACTTTCTCCACTTGAGAAACCACCCGTCTCACTTTGTTCCTGCTAGAGAAAGTTGGTGAAATGATGAAAGAGAAATGAGAGAATGAAAGAACAATAAGGACAAAATACTGGGTGAAAATGGACAGTATTTTTTGAGTCCTGTTCTTCCCAGGGTTTGGATTTCGGTGGGTGTTAGTTACACCCACAAAAAGACGAAAATCTACGTGCAGTCGTATGAAAATATGGGTTTTGTGAAGAAATAAACTTGTATTTTCATCCGATAAAAGTTAATTTCTTCACAAAACCCGTATTTTCGTATGACTGCTCTCTTTCCCATTCTCATCTTTTTGTGGGTGTAGCAATCAGTGGAAGGTTTTCTGAAGAAATTCATTTTTTTATTGGCGTCGAAATGCTTCATTTTTATAAAATCGTGAAAGTAACATATTTTGATGGCGATACATAAACCGTTCAAAAAAATTTCTTCGCAGAACCCATATTTCGTACGACTGTTGTCTTCTCCACGTAGATTTTCGTCTTTTTGTGGGTGTGGTGTAACACCCCCCAAAATCCAAACCCTGGGAAGAACAGAGCTCAAAATACTGCATTTTGACCCAGTACTTTGCCCACGGACCGAATAAACTTGACATATTTATTACTTTTACTTATTATTTGTTACATAGGTAATATCAATTTATTTTCGATTGCATTCCTCCACTGTAATGTGGGCGTGGTTCGGTTGGAGTAGGAGATGGTGGCTGGATGATAATACTTGGCGGGGTCGTGGACGTGGACATCGTTGGCGTCGGGGTTCGCAAAAGGGGAAAACTCTCGGTCAAAAAATCTTCCTCGTCTTCACCACGAGCGTCTAAAAAGCCGTGGATTGCGTACAGCGTGCCGTTAACGAAGGTTAATATCTGTCAGAGAAATATGAATCAAAATATTTCGAGCTTATCGAATGATAAGTGAAATTATGTTCATACTTTGGCGACCCCAATGTAATAAATGTGAGGACACTTGAATCCACAATCGTGATCATATTCTGACCATCCAATCAAGTCGATTCCAGCCAAGATGAGACCTGCGCCGGCTAACAGGTGGAAGATGAAGCCCTGCAAATATTTATTGTTTGAGGATGATAAGATCACTTATCTTTGATGCGTGAAATTACCACGATTTGCTTGGGCCGAGTTCTCAACAAGGTTGGTGAGAAGATACAGTTTAGGAACAGATTTAGCGTTGATATCGCCAAGCAGACGGATATCGTGACGAGGAAAATGTCCAAAGCTAAGTTGTGAGGCACGTAAGAAAATGAGATCAGAATGAGAGAGATTGTGCCCAAAAGCTGTAAAAAAATATGACCAATTAAAAATTTAATAAAATTTAGTAACACAATATTTCGTGTAAATTATGTATAAAATAATACCACATGGAGAAGTTTTAATATTCCATCAGGACTGTTTAACGTTTGAAGGTTGAGTCTTATCGACATTTTTTACACTAAAATTTTTAATGCAATACGAGTATTTTTTTTCTATTCTGGGTGAAAGTACATGATAAATCATTACTTAAAAAATGTAAATGCAAAATTTTACGTCGCTAAACTTTACATTTTGTTACACGTGCCCCGAGACTCGTAATGTTTGGAAATTTGGAGTGAATCATGGTCACGAGTTTGATGGAGTTGGATTGAAGCAACTACGCAGACAAAAAGTTAAGCGATGATGATAACCGATATCAATTGTCAACATTTAGTTGCGGAGGAGAGATTTGGAAAAAGTAAATGCAAAGCAAATATTTGTAGTGATTACATAATAATGAATTACACAAAGAAATACATGAATGAAAATTGAATTGCATTTGTGAAATTGTAAAAAAATGACGAAAATTCGAGAAAACTTTGCAATATTTATTTAATCCTGATCATTTCATTTTCCTGTGTTCGGATTTTTCATGAAATTGAATCTTAAATTTATGCACACCCATGAAATTATGAAAAAAATGATGAAAAATTCACCAATTTTTTTTGCAGTATTCAATATTTATTAAATCCTTATGCATCATTTCATTTTTTCCTGTTTTCGCATTTCTCATGAAAATTACTGGTACATATTTTTTTAAATTATGTCTCGTTTACAGTTCATTCTTTATTTTTCTTTATTTTATTTTATCCGTTTACATTTTTCTCTCTCCAGAAATTAAAAAGTGGGTGGATGACCTCTAAATTGTAAAAGGTTTCTGTATTTATTTCATTTCATTCCTTGTTTGTTATTATTGTATAAAGTTACTAACAGCTAATTTGCATATATTTCATTATAGCGATGTGTATGTGTGAGGTGTGTATCTCTGGTTAAATAATCGATCTACAAGTTTTTGTACAAGAGAATTCTTTTAAAATCATAAACCGTGTGCGACATTAACTTAATTACAATTAAAAAAACAAATATAATTATAATTCATATAATTTAGTAGAGCAATTAATTATAATTAAAAATCGGCTGGAGAAAGTAGCAGATAAAACGAGATTGTGCAGTAAATGTGTGGGTGGACCTTATCCATTGGTTATCAAACAAACTAAAAATACTTGACTAAACGTTAACTAAAAACCAACCAACGAACAAAATAATTAATTATACGAAATTAATTAATTACCAAATTAATTAACCAAACTATTTCCTTATCTGAACACACTGCAGGATTGAGTGCATAAAAAAAATTAAGTTAATAACCGAATAATGACTACATACTTAACATATTAATGGGACACACATGCAGTCATTTATTTTTAGTATGGATTAATTAATTAATTAATTAATTAACTAAATGGAATATTTAAGAAGCACTCATTTTATTATTTTGTAGTTACGATGCATCTTATTTCTTTCTCTTCTTTTTTGAACATATTTATTATTACAGCCAAATAATAAATAAATAGATTATTTTATTTGTGAAACAGGTCATAGATAATTCTGGGAAATATTGGAACATAAAAAGTGTCATATTTAAAAAGTAGTATCAAAAGTAAGCACCAACAAAAAACAAAGTTCAGATTTTCAGGATAAAATATGTCATAAAAAATTCGGGGATAAAAGTGACATGCTTTCTCCGAAACGTAATTAATTAATTAATTGATCGTCACCTTAAAACTCAAAATTGTGGTGTCACATAAAACCAAAATTTCGAAATGTAATGTTAAATGGTGGTTTATATGGTCATAATAATTTTAGTATACATACGTTCCAGATTTAAATATGTATAGAGTCAAAAATTGAGAAAAGGCAACCATTATCAGCGGTCAGTAATGATATCTATCTACCTAACGCAGGGATAGATACATAACCAAATTTCTCTCCTATGTATGATACCAACTAGACAACTTTTTCTTTTTACAACCATCACAATAATTATTACATAATCTACTACGTAATTATAATAACTTTGATTGATCAGGTTGCAAGTTAATTACGGCGTCGTCGTTATTTTGATACTGAAAGGAAACCACGGATAAGGAAATGGTCCAGAATTTCTTTTCAATAACATTATTATTATCGATTGGTTCGTCGTCGGTTTGCGTGGATGTCGACAGTGTCGTTATTACAGGTGATGGTGGTGGTGGTGTCGTTGTTGATTGTGGCACTTGGGAAACTGGAACTTGAGGTGGGGGTGAACATTCAACCACGGGGGGAGGAGGAGGTGCGTCGTCCTTTGGAACAAGTTCTTCCTGCAGTTGTTCCTTATTATTGCGTGAAATGGTGGTGGTGGTTGAACGTAACCGTAACTGCTAGGAGGGGTTCTTCATGATCCTCTTTTGTCGGAAATCGTAAACTTTTTTGCAGAAGAAGACAACTTCGGGGGATATTTTTCCCGGTGATGCGGGACGATTTTGTTCCGTGGTTGGTTTTCCGTTCCAAACTGCGCCCGCGATGTTGCCGGCAGCGTTATTATTGTGCATTGCGGATCCACTGAGGGAAAGGAGTGGTTTGCTGGGGAGAGCTTCTTGGAGTTGTTTCAGTCTTTTGCGATATCTGGGGAGAAACAGGACATTTTTATAGTTAAATATTTGCTAATTTTCAGTAGTATTTAAAATACCGTACCTGCAATACTCATTGAAAGTCAGGACGTAACACCGATCGTCAATCGTAGCGACGGAATTGACATCGAGATGTTTGGAAGCGAATATCTCGTCCGTCATGTCTTCCTTGGCTCGCCCCATTTCTGTATGTTCGGGTCGATAGTACCTTCAATCATAAAATTTAGCAATTTAGCATGTTTTTGAAAGTCAAAATATGTGTTTAAAAAACTCACCACAAAAGAGAAAACATCATTTCGCCATCGATCGGGTTTTCCCACAGGGTCGCAATTTTCGCAATGTAAGGCAAATCATTCTTCTTGGATCCCTACAAAAATTTACAAAGTCTTGGGTGACTAATGTTTCAGAAATATTGGGCGTTTCCAGTAAAAGTTTGTAAATAAAATTTGCACACATACCGATTTTAGAAGAACACAGTCTCGCGTTTGAATCACATCCCCACTCTCGTGTCTCATGGCAGGATAACATCGACGAACAACGGGTGGGTCATCGTTCTAAGAAAAGATATCACATATTCGATAAGTACCAAACCACAAAATCTATTCCCCTCAAAAATTAGACGACTCACATTCAAAAACACCTTGGTCTCATACGGCTCGCCCTCAAACCTCCATCCATTCGACCATTTCGGAGCCCTTCTAGCCATCCCCATTTGTAACAAGGCACCGTTAATCGCCGCGGGAGAGAGGGGCTTGACGACGGCCCTCTTTTTCGCCGCATTCGCCGCCATGGAGCCAATCGGACCTTTCGAAAAGCCACTATTCAACGTCGTTGCCGCCGGGCTGCTGGACCTGGAGGCCAAGTTGTGATTCGGAAATGCGGCAACAAGTGGAGACTGTTGTTGTGACGAGGAGGACGACGACGAAGGTGAACTACTAGGACTCAAGCTCTTATCGAGATTAATACTGCTGGCTGATGGGAAGACGCCAACCCCGGCTCGAGGCACGCGGAGCAGCACGTTCCTTCTGTATTGGTATAAATCTGCGACCGCGTTGATAAAAGCTTGCGTCGGATATTTCCTATTTTCTCGCTCGACTTTACTACTCGTGTGGGAGGAGGATAACGAATTGTTGTAAGAAGTAGAAACATTTCCGTTAATAATCTGCAAAAAAAGGGGGAAATTTGTTTCAGTTTTTGATTTGTGCAAGTTTAACGTCGGAAATAATATTATGAGTGATAATTATTATGTTGAGTTAATAATAGATTGGCTAGGACTGGTATATAACGATATAGATTTGATCACTTATCGTCAAAATTAACACATTTTAAATCATTTCTGGGCTTTGGGAATTTATTTTAAAATTCTGGGCGACAAATTTGCAGTCTCCTCCTTCAAAGTGTCAACATTTGGAGTGTATATTTTTTTTAAATTGGCAACTCCTTGCTCTACAAATTTGTCGTTCAGAATTTTAAAATAAGTTCCCAGAGGCGAGAAATGATAAAAATGTGCGGATTTTGAAGATAAGTCAAAATTACATAAAAATAAACTACTCACCCTCACCGCGGAACTGCTCCTGCTCGTATTTGTACTCGAGTCACTCTCACTCCTTCGCCCAATCCCCCCACTGCTGCCCAACCCGGTCACAACGACGCCACAAATCTGGTTCCCTTTTCTGAGAAGACGAGACCTATTCCGTGGCGTGTTATTACTCATCGTGTTGGACGAAGATTCTCCACCCCCACCCCCGCCGCTGCCCTTCGGCTTGTTGGAAAACCTCGTCTTAATCTTCGCATTGGCCGCGGTACTTCGCGTGTTTCTGGTCGAGAGATAATTCGCCGCGGCTTTTTCGAGTGATATCCCCTTCGTCTTGACTTTGGACATTCCCACGACAAAGTTAAGGTCTCTCCGGCCTGGGGGAAGATAAGCGAGGGTCGAAGTCTTGCCCCCTTTTCCCTGCTGGAATTTGCTGGTAGCCTTCTTATTAAACCCGTTCCGGAGCCCTTTCCCGTTCCCGTTTCCCAGTCTTGAGCTCTTCAAGTGGTACGTGTCGGGATCTATGACCACGGCACTTACGGCGGCTACGGCATCACTGGATTTGATCACGGTCCCGCCCCGATGAAGTTGCGGGTCTCGGACACGTGCCGAAGAATAGGATGAATCGACAAGGACAGGTTTCTTGGTGGATGATAAGGAGTTCTTCGCTTTTCCGAAAATGGGGCCACCATTGGTCACCGCGTTGGAATTGAAATTCGGCGTTAGTGCGGAATGCAACCTGGTGGTTCCGTTATTATTACTGGCGAAATTCGTTTTCGATGATCTGGATATCACATTTCCGTTGACTGGATTTGCACCGTTCAAACCAGGAACGAGGAGCGGATCTTCGAGGAGTTTTAACTTCTTTTTTTGCAAACCGTCGATGCACTCGTTGAGCGAGATGCGTTTCTTGTTGTTATTTGTGGTCGCCACGTGTTGGACAGCCTGCACGTGGACGGTGTTGGGGTCGTCAAAGTGAAGTTGACTACTGCGACCTTTGTTCACGGTGAGATTTAGACCGATATTATTATTCTGATTACCCGGGGATTTTCCGCCTCGGGACGAGATACTGATTCCCGGAGGGAGGGAATAGTTCGGAGATTGGAGTCGAACAGGATCATTGACCACTCTGCCCCCCAACAAATTATGGGCTGCGTGCTGGGCCAGATTTTGTTGGAGAATGGACATCCCTCCAGCAACGGTGGTCGCACTACTGGCAGCGAAGGGTGACCTTTTTTTGCCACCCTGTTTTTTACCAGGTTGTTGCATAATAGGGGACTTTTTCCTGTTAGAATTAGTACTCGTAGCAGCAGCAGCCACCACGGCGGCGTGATACTGAGCCAAATTTTCCGTGATGCTATCATCACATTCCACCACTCCACTTCCGTTATTATTGTTGATCACTATCACATCCAAGTCAGGGTTGAGTTTACCAACCCCAAGCTTTTTCATGCCTCCACCTCCTCCTCCCCTCGTAGTAGTATCTGCAGGACTACTTTTCGGACTTGTGATCATCGCCATCGCCTTGTTATTCTTGACGAGGAGGTTCCGATTGCTAATATGTTTAGCGATCGTCGTCTTAAGGCCACTTCTGGGATCGATGACGTGCACAATGTCGCGCTCCTTCTTCTTCGACGCAGCGTTCGTCACAGCGCGCGCACCTTGACCTGGATTCGTCGCAGCACTATTATGAACCGGCGGAGAGGAATTATTTTTCGGGGGGGAAGAGGACATTGTTGGGGGATGGATGAGAGATATGGATGTATTTTTCAACAATAGGGCCGTACTATTGTTGGAACTATTATTGACTATGATTGGCGTTATGGTTATATCATCGGGCAGAGAATACTGTTCCGTGAAGGTTTTCGCACTTTCGAGCTGGCCCCTCGTCTGGTTTTTGTGGTTATTGAGGAGCGTGATTGTGATGGGGGGCGGGGTGTCCGGGGGTGACGAGGCGGAAGGACGGGGAAGGATTTGTTTAGCGACGACGACGCGATGACGAGATGATAAGGCTGTTGGTTTTTTTGATAAGGTGGACGTGGGCTTAACACCCGCCTCCAGGGTGGCCGGATGCAAAACGTTGAAAACAGATTGCTGCTGCGGCGGCGGCCTGTTGCTGCTGGTACTGCTCGGCGGACATGGCGGCTCCGTAGGGCATGGGCATGCTGGCTGGGTAGACGGATTGGGAAGAAAACGCCCAGCATGTCCTGTGTAGAAAAATTCAAACCAATGTTGCCTAAGAGTTGTGGGACATGAGGAAACTAAATAAAATAAGGGGAAAAAGAAGAAGTGAAAGTTGAAAAAGGTTGAGTTGAGAGATGAAGAAACGTATGAAATTTTTTGGAAGAATTTGAAAGAAAGTGGAAGTTGAGAAAGGAACGAAATTAAGTAACGTAGGACTCGAATCAGTAAAAAAAAATCAACACATTTGTAATCATTTTTGCCTCTGGGAACTTATTTTATAATTCTGAAGGACAAATTTGTAGTCAGTGAGTTGATCAATGGAATGGCGTTGAGTTTTTCAACCAGTTTCGATGAGTTCCAATTTTTCTGAATATTTCCTAAGCTTGAAATCTCCTCCTTCAAAAGTGTCAATATCGGGAGTGTATATTTCCAAAAAATTAACAACTCCCTGCTCTACAAATTTGTCCCCCAGAATTTCAAAATAAATTCCCAGAGAATGGGAATCGTTGCCAATTTATTAAAAATATACTCCAGATTTTGACACTTTTTGAAGGAGGAGATCTCAAGTTTAAAAATCCTTCAGAAAAATTGAAACTCATCGAAACTCGCTCAAAAAACTCAACGCCATTCCATTAATCAACTCACCGACTACAAATTTGTCGTCCAAAATTTTAAAATAAATTCCCAGAGCGGAGAAATGATTGAAAACATGCAGATTTTTATGATAGATAAGTAATCCAGTCCTACGTTAAGAAAGTAAGAAAGTGAAAGTTAAGAAAAGAACTGAGCCTATACTGACCAACCTGGTGCTGTTGGGGGTGGTTGTAGGGAGTGGTGAGGCGACGCGACGAGGTAACTGGAGGCGGGATGCATCCCCTGCGGGGGTTGGAGGGCGGAAGGGGGCGCGTAGAAGGAGGCGGCCGCCATGGAAGGGTGGGTGAGAGAGAGGGGGCGCGGTGGTCCGCCCACGATTCCGCTGGGCATGACTCCTGGGGTGGAATTTGGCGTGAGAGGGGGCGTGTAGAAAGGCGTCATGAAGTAGGACTGCTGTTGGGCTTGGGCTGCTTGGGCGGCTGGGTTGGCGGAAGGGTAGAGGAACGAGTTTTGGTAGGGGGAATGTGTCCTGGAAGAAGAAAAAAATGGGAAATTTAGCGTTATTACTTACTGACCTGTGACCTGACCCAGTGACCTTTTGACGTACAAGGTCGACTAATATGCAATGGAGGTCTCCCAGCGTATGCTCTCCGATTTTGAGCAAATTAGTGTCAATCCATCACAAATTTAAGTACTATATGAAATTTGCGAAAGACACTATTTCCCAATGGGCACGTTTCGCAGAGATAGTTGCATCCGAAGAGGAGAAAACGCGCAGTAAATTTGTGAAAAACTTGTCGACTTTAAGGCCCACTTTCTCCTCTTCTGATGCAAATACCTCTGCCAACCGTGCCCATTAGGAGATCGTGTCTTTCGCAAATCACACATTACCTAAATTTGTTATCGATTGATACTACTTTGCCCAAAATCGGAGAGCATCCGCTAGGAGACCTCCATTGTTAATTATTAATATGAAATTACGTAGTAAATAGGATTGTTGTGCACCCTGACTGCCCAAATATGATGCTACTTGGTTTATAAGTAAATAACTGCTATGATGACCATGTTGGTTAAAATCATTTTCTATTTTTTCATGCCATTCCAATTCCTTGCTTGATGATACCCATAAATAGTGTAACTAACTACTAGTGGATTGGATGCCTGTATTTTCCAGAGAATGAGACGACACGACACGCTAAAATAAATATGACGCATACCACCGACCGTTCTTCAGCCTAAACTACCCAACTCACCAGCAACAGCGTAATCTCATAATACTTTTCCGTACGTGAGGACGATGATGATGATGTGAATGTGAAGTGAATGTTATTCTTTTTTCCTGCTGGTGACTAGTCAAGTCGTCAAGCTGATAAGATAATTTTAATGACCACGCTATGCATACATAGCCTCTCCAACTCCACCACTTTGTTTGCTTTCCATTGTTACGCAAGCAAATAGCCAGCCTGCATTTCTTAGTAAAGGGTCTCAACTTTCACTTACAGGGGAAGTCTCCCAGCGTATGCGATCCGATTTTGAGCAAATAAGTGTCAATCGATGACAAATTTAATTAGTATGAAATTTGCGAAAGACACGATCTCCCAATGGGCACGTTTGGCAGAGATATTTGCATCCGAAGAGGAGAAAACGCGCAGTAAATTTAGAAAGTGTCAAATTTGTCAACTTTAAGACGCATTTTCTCCTTTTCGGATGCAAATATCTCGGCCAAACGTGCCCATTGGGAGATCGTGCTTTCGCAAATTTCATACTAATTAAATTTGTGATCGATTGACACTAATTTGCTCAAAATCGGGGAACATACGCTGGGAAACCACCATTCCTAGTTAGTCCTTCGTGTATGTTCTATGCACATCCATATGAACGAGCGAGACGCAATTCTTCCGTATGTATGCCGAGGACGAGACGCAATACCCAACTAAACCTGGGCCACGTATCGGTTTCCCTTAAATCAGAATGCTCCGAATCTGCAGAGAAAGCAGGAAGTTTACAAGTGGGATGGGAACGTCTCCCACGACGTCAACTCAACTTCCCTCACAGCCAAGCACGTATACGTAGGTACCCCTCTCCACTTCTGCGTTGCGTAGAAATTGGGTTGTTTTTGAGACGGGGCAAGCAAAAATATATGCAGTCGCCGCGGAACAGGGGGACAGAGGGACAATGTCCTCACGGTTCTTCGATGTCCGCATCATCTTATCTAAACCCCTCCCTCCTCTATCCTACAATATAATGTCCCCACAGCTTCCGCGGCCACTGTCTATCTATCCGTCTGACGCATTCACTCACCTATACGACTCTGGTGGCACCATGGGATACTTGCTCGGCGCAAAGGGGGAATGATGGTGTGGAGCGTAGGCTGCCGAAGTGGAATAAAACAATCCGCCTGCGGATGGAGGAGCAGCAGAAGACGAGGCTGGTCCTGGTGGAACTGGAATCTGATGGCCGTGACCGTGATGGTGTGACGACGACGACATGGTTGGCTGACTACTCAGATGGAGCGGAGACCCTGTCGCGGTGGCGGGATTGATGACATAGCTGCTCCCCGTCGAATTGGGCGTCGGGTAGCCAGATTGGTGTCGAGATTGAGATGTCGACGACGACGAAGAAGAAGATTTGTACGGTTGGTGAAGGATTTGTCCGCTACTACTTTTGTCCTTAGAATTTGTGGCATGCTTCCTCCCGCTGCTCGTGTCGGCCTTGGCGGCGGAGGAGGATGCCGACGTCGATGAGGACGACGACGAGGAATGCTGCTGCGAGGACACTGCCGGATTCTTTGGTGGGTGCGTCTGATATGTTACTTTGAGGTCGGGGGGAAGTTTTACGGTTTCCGGGAGGAGACCAGCCGGCACTTTGTGAGGTTCAATTAACGGCCCGGCAGGTTGGTAGAAGTTGCCTGGAGGAGAAGAAGAGAGGAGAAAAACGTTAAGGAGAAATAAACAAGGCGAGAAAACTCGGGTGTGGATTGGATTTTAAACAAATGAGCAGAGGTGGGCAAAATACTGGGGTTTGAATTTCCGGGGGTGTTACACCCACAAAATGGCTAAAATCTACTTGGAGAAGGCAACAGTCGTACGAAAATACAGGTTTTTTAAAAGAAATTAACTGTTTATCTCGGTAAAAATACGTTATTTTAGAAAAATATTATGAAAACAATGTATTTTGACACCGATAAAGAGTTTAATTTCTTCACAAAACCCGTATTTTCGTACGACTGTTGTCTTCTCCACGTGGATTTTCGTCTTTTTTTGCTGTAACAGCCCCGAAAATCCAAACCCAGCTCAAAAATACTGCACATTTTGACCCCGTATTTTCCCCACCTCTGCAAAACGAGCCCCTCGCGACTTTCGTAAAATTACAGCCCAACCAAAACCAACCACATAACACACAACAACAAAGAGAAGATTCATTCATTCCGCTTACCAAAGTGAGCAACGGAGCTGGAGGACTTTCTCTCCTTCTCTTTGGCGAGGCTTCCGGCACTTTTAACTTGATTAGCTTGTACTCCCGACGACTCCTGCAATTAATAAAGTAAAGTTGTGCAATTAGTGGCGGCATTATTCTATTTTCAGCCAGTTTTTCCATATGCTTCATCCCCACTCTTTCTTCCCCCTCAATTTGAAAGCCATGTGTTCACAATAGAGAGTCGAGATTGCTCATTGATTTCTTCTCGCTCATGTCAACCAAACGGAGATGAAAGCCAGAGTCAGTCTGATTCAGCTTTCTCCTCTCCACTTCCTCACGACCAGTGGCCGCGGAACAGAGGGACAATGTCCCCACGGTTGGTCGATGTCCGCATCATCTCCCCATCTTATATAAACCCGTCCCTCCCCCTATCCTACAATGTTAACGTCCCCAGATGTCCCCACGGCACAATTCATCATTAAGTTGTTTAACCTGGCTTGGCCGTCGGACAAGCCAGGCCAGCTGGCGTTCTTTATCGTATCCTATTTATACTCATGTAAGTTTTTGGTTGGGGTGAGTGGGTGGACGGCGTTAAAAGAAAAGGGTTCTCTTCGGCTGGGTTCATTTATCCTGCCCAAAGTTGACAGCCCTTCACTCACCAGAGTACAACACAACACAAGCCACCCTCTCGTCCTGAGTCTGTAGTGGTGGTGAGTTTGTTGGATTGGAGAGAAAGGAGAGGAGAACAATCCACTAAACTAACCATTAGGTGGTAGACAAATGTCCGGGAGAAAGTGAACAAGCTAGCTCTTTCTCCCCCCAACCATACTGTGCTCGCTCATTTTCCAGAGGAGAAAGTGCAAAGTATGATGAATCATGATTATATACGGTGTGGTGTTACGTATGTAGAGCTGAAGGCATTTATGTATGGCATGCATGACATGCCCGATTTGTCCAACATTTAAATTTATGATGTCCTAACAAGGCAAACGCTATAATAATTTTTACCATGGACAAAAATGCCGGCCATTTATTTTCTCGACATTTTATAACTCTAAGCATGATTACGCTACTCAATCAGCTACATAATTTACCCTGAAGATGAATCAAAATTGCTACTTTTGCACGTAAAATTGGCGAACATTTTGTGTCCCAACAAGGCAATAATACATTCTGAGGACATTTTTACCATGTCCGAAATGCGGGCCATTTATTATCTCGACGTGGTACAACTCTAATTACTCATGATAAAGCCACCCAATCAACCACCCTTCGTCACCAATTTACTCTAAAATGTCATCTTTTCCTGGCTACTTTTCCCATAAAATTGACATTGTACATTTGTATCTACCTAATTTAATCATGGGTTTAAAACCTCACTCGAGTATCAAACAGTTTTCCTTTGACAGCACACAAGTTTCAATTAGATGTCACCCCTCCTGCTGAGAAACAAGGTTTAAGCTGAAGTGAAAGTGGCGTATAAAAACTTTCATCCGGGCAGAACAACGACCCACGGACCGACCAGACGAGGCCACGCATTTTACTCGTGTGGAACAATTCGTCGCGTCAGTTTCGTTTCACTTTTTGATGATGGTGGAAAATCTGGTAAAAATCAATTCCCTACAGTATTTACACACATACTGACAGCGAAATGGTCGAGGATGAGGAGCAGGTAGTCTGGTTGGTTGGTGGGTATTATTTTATGGGGGTGGATTGGTTAGTGACAGGTATATGTAGGCAGTGGCCGCGGAAGCCGTGGGGACATGTGGGGGCATTGACATTGTAGGATGGGGGCAGGGAGGGGTTTATATAAAATGGGGAGATTATGCGGACATCGAACAACCGTGGGGACATTGTCCCTCTGTCCCCACAGCTTCCGCGGTTAATGGTATGTACCTACGTGGACACGTTGGGTTTATCTGTCCCTGTTGCTGCTCACAAGCAACTAAGGTTTTATTACCACTCCATTAAACACTTTGGAAATTCCTTCACTGGAAAGGCACACTCTTTTTAAACCAGAGTCGTAAACTTTCTTTGTGCGAATGAGAGAATGCGAGCGAGAACAATCTGTCTCAATTCGGCACGACGTATGTACATACGTTCGAAACGAATCGTTTCAGGTACACTCTTAGAAAACTCGTATTAAATCATTACTGACCGGAGTACGTGTCTCTACCGGCACGGTAATAATGACGCAATTATCGTTTAGTAATGTGTGGTAATAAAAATTCACCACTCAGAAACAAACTACTATCAATCTGGTAGGAAATTATTACCAAATTAACACCAGTACGAGATTTTTTATAGTGCACGTATGTACATAGTGCGCAAATTGTACTTGTCGTACACATAAACAAAATACGTTTTAACAAACGTTGACGTCTGTCTTATGCAAATTTTTGCAGATACGTATTGCGTAATAATTTTTTACAAATTCAAAATCCAACCCAAATTATTTACCTCTGAGGAAGAAGAAAATGGTATCGATAAGAATATCGTGGTATCGATAAAATCTGCCAGTCCTAGGCTTTCTTCGGTCAAAAAGTGGTGCAAAATGGGGAACGAAACCGACATTTTTGACACATTTATTTAGCACATTGTTGCACTCACAACACAACTTTCTTTACTACTAAATACCACTTATGCCTAACTAAAGCAACCCTTCTGTTTTGGAATATGGCGGAAATTCAGTCATATGCATATTACATAGATATACATACATTTCAGTTCAAGGATTAAATGTGTGTTACGATTACATTACAGCAGAACATTGCTTAATCCTTTCCCTCCTCGCCAGCAGACGTTTAGTAAAGTAAGAACCCAAAACCAAACCCAATAAATTTCTATGTACATATGTACATATCCTGAGTCACATCACAAACATCATGGGTATCTCGATGTCTACATAAATATGTGTGCATGTGGTATTATTTTATACCGTGTGTGTGTGTGTATGCATGTCGTCAATCAAGCCTAAAAAACCAAACCACAACTCAACGAGTCTATAACCAAATTCATAGTGAAATGGATGTATAATATGTACATGAATTCAGTGTATGTTAATTCGTTTCGTTGAGAGGACACTCGAAAGTAGAAAGAAGACGCCCGCACATCACAAATAGATAAATAGTTGATTCGATGGGCATATTAGTCGTTATGCAGCACGTTCAGATTGTTCACAGTGGCCGCGGAGGTGTGCGGACAGAGGGACAATGTCCCCACGGTTGTTTGATGTCCGTGTCATCTCTCCATCTTATATAAACCCCTCCTTCCCCTATCCTACAATGTTAATGTCCCCAGATGTCCCCGCGGCACGGCCACTGATTGTTCAGTTATTAGAGGCACACGCTATGTATACTGTAAGAAGCAGTGATGTTGATGATGGTCTCACGATGACGACAGACAACTACGACGATTTTGATGATGATTCCTCCATCTGAGAGTGGATTTATGTATGTATGCACGCAAAATACATGAGACAAGCTACTCGCCCTGCTTGCCTGATAAATACTGATGCGATCATCATCGCCATCGTCGTGAGTAGAGTCGCCTTGTCCCAATTTCAATTAACGCATGCTTCCTTTCTTTAGGGTTGCCTGCATGTAAAATGGAACAGCTATTTACTTACTTGAGCTCAATTCAATCTCTTTTTCCTCCTGCAAACCAAACCAAACCAAACCACGGAGAAGAAGAAGAAGGAGCTAATGCCTAATAAAATCGGATACGTGTGTAGCACCACCACTAAAATTGCAACCTTGTCCTCCAAGAACAAAACGAAGCTTTCTTTTCCCCTACTAAAAGTGATGGGAGAAGAATGGATTGGATGGATGGGAAGGTGCACACACGAATAAATCGTGACACGCGTTGAATCGAATAAGTGGGAAACTTATACTTTTATTATCTATCCATTCAATTTTCGCTGGAGAACAATAAAACCACCTCTTTTTTGGCCATGTACATACATACATAAAATGAACACGAGGAGCTCAGGTATATACACTCTTAGAAAATTGGTAGCAAATCAGTACTGACGGGAGAATATGACTCTACCGACACTGGTAATAACGGGTATCACCGTTTAGTAATGTTGAGGAGCTGAAAAATTTACCACGCAGAAACAAACTACTACCAATCCGGTAGGAAGTTGTTACCAAATCAATACCAGGTCGAACTCTACCAGATTTTTAACAGTGTAACCACACGACGCTAAACCCACCGCTGAAACAATGGCTCCACGGAATTTTGTAATTTGCAGTGTCGCAGTGAAATAATGATGTTGCTGGAGCTGGACTGAACTGCGTATAATGCTCAGTCGCTCACTTTCCGGGACAAGAAAGACGACACAAACTTTCATTACTAAATATTATGAACCAAGTGAAAGGGGACATTAATTTCCTTCCTGAGGAGAGAATTCTTTAATGGTCATCATATCTGGGGAAGAACGGGGGAGGTCAATAAGCTAAATAAGCCATTTGTTTCGGCCCTACAGAGAGAGAAAGTATACACGTGTGCATGTCCAGGCAGCAGTGTGTGGAGAGAAAGGTATAATACATTTTAGGGAGACCAGTGTTTCATTTGTTTTTAGGGTTGTCACATTTCTTGCAGTGCAAAGGAAAAAAATGGGAGATGCAAGAAACTGGGAGAAAGTGCAAGAAATACGCGCCGTATTTAGTATTTACAGCGGCGGGGCGCAGTTCCTTGCACCTTGCATTTCTCCCAGGTCAAAATATTTCCCTGCAAGAAACCACTTTCTCCCCGTTATTTCTTGCAAGTGGTAGCTTTCACCCGAAACACTACACTCAGGACGCTACACTAGGGGAAATAATCTACATAGGAGCATAAGTTAGCTTATGCAGGGGAGAGAAAAGCCGTATAAATAAATGGAGAAAGAAAAATGGACCTAACAAAACCTCAACGTATTTATTTTCCTGCTTTTCCCTTTCATTAAAATTCTCGTTCGACTGATCACGCTACGCCGTATTGACAATGCGAGTAGTGGTTTTTACCTCATCAAAAATTCATTAGGTTTATCCATCTTATTACGTAATCACAACATCCGGGCTAAAAATAGGATAAAAAATTCACCCATCTTGATGGGATGTTCCTAATTTT